TTAATGCATGTGTTGTATTCAACTGTGTTCAATATTTTTGAGATAGCTTATCCACCTCAGCTAGATCCAAATATGACTAATGCCCAAAGTTCTAGTCAGGCGACTCTGGTTCAAGGTACAACAATAATCAATTTTGAGGTGATTTCCTATATTGCAGATATAGTAGCATAATTGGCCAGTGAGGTTCACACACAAGTTGTTGGTACCCGATCTAATGACAAGGATAGATATTTGCATAAATTTATGAGATTACAATACCATAGACTTTCATGTGTAATTGAGCCTAAACTAGTTGAGGATTGACTGATAAGAACAGAAAGGACTCTGGATGAGATGCTTGATTCTCTTTAGACAAAAGTTGCATTAGTTATATTATTATTAGATTATGTGGCAGAGTGTTGGTGGTTGGGCCAACCAAGAGAGAAGTTTTAAAGTCATGTAGATACCCTGATTATATGAGATGAGTTTGCTGAGAGATTCAAGATATGATTTGTATCTCCGTCAGCTAAGAGGAAGATACAGAGTTTTTTTTTTCTAAATTTGATTCAAGGAAGCATGTTAGTGATGTAGTATGTGACAAAGTTTACTACTCTCTTCAAGTATGCTCCATAATTAGTGTACACTTTTGAGGATAAGTGTTACTTATTTCTAGAGGGACTCCGTGATGCTTTAAGGCAGCCACTGTTGGCACATGATATCACAAACTTTGCTCGGTTAGTCGAGAGGGCCAAGAGTATAGAGACCAATCTAATAGCAGTGCAATAGTGAAGGAATGGAAGAAGGAAGAGATTTGGCAATGAGAAAGAAGACAATAACCATTTTGAGGAGAATATCATGTTTGGATCTGTTGAGTTCATAAAGAGAGGACAATTAGTAGCAATTTATTTTGGATCATATAGAGATAGTGTTGGCAGTTTTGGGGGTTCAATGAGTGAGGTACTATTATGTCAGCAGTGTGGTAGAAAGCACATTGGCCAGTGTTACTCAGCTTAAGGCAGGCATTTCCATTGTGGTTAGTTTGGACACGGGGTTGTTAAGTGTCCATAGGGTGATTTTGATAGATGTTTTGGTTTCAAAGGCCCTGGGTAGTCAACCGTGGGTATACTAAGGGCAGTGCCACCTCAACCATATTTTGAGGCTTATGGTAGTTAGAATGTTGGTCTGATATCATGAGGTCAACCTTTTGGAGGTTCACGAGGTGCTTGTTGTTATGTTGCTTTGACCCTAATACATTCATGAGTTTACAGTCTTACACAATAAGAGGCCAACGAGTATATAAATGTTGTGAGAGGTACAACTTATTTTTCTGCATCTCCTTGTCGTATTTTATGTGATTATTGTGCTAGTTATTCTTTCATGTATGAGTAGTAATTTGATTCTCTCAATTTTGTCTTCTATGATATTACCTATTTATTTGCCTGTAATTTTGCCTATGGGAGATGAAATGGTAGCTATTAGAGTTTATTTTTATGATTTATAATTTTTTGATAGAGTGTGGAGATCTGGTTTGATTTTGTTACATATTTTTGCATTTGATGTCATTTTGGGTATAGACTATATGAGTCGATATGGGGCTCAGATTTATTGCTTGAAAAAGAAAATGACTTGGTATAAGAATGGTGAGAACTTTGTATTTCAGGGAATCATGCGTTCTTTCTTAATTCATTTTTTACTCTCAAAGTGGATAAGCTTTGGAGGAAAGATAACATGGTATTTTTAGCATCTGTTAGAGATGTGAAATTCTTTTTTGGTTCTATTAGTAGTGTCCTTATAGTTCAGGGGTTTCTAGATGTCTTCCCTGAGGAATTAGCGAGTTTATCGCCATATAAAGAGATAAAGTTATGTATCAATTTTTTTTTATACTGCTCCGATCTCTAAAGCTCCATATAAAATGGCACCTAAGGAACTTCAAGAGTTGAATGTTCAGCTTTAGGAGTTAGTTGACAGGGGATTCAACTGCTCTAGTGTGTCTTCGTGGGGAGCACATGTTCTATTTGTGAAGAAAAATGATGGTACAATGTGCATGTGTTGAGTTGAACAAAGTTACTATTAAAAATAAGTTTTATTTACTTGGAATTGATGACTTATTTGATTAACTAGCTGAATGTTTAGTATTTTCAAAGATCAATCTACATACTGGTTAATCAATTGAAGATAAAGGCATATGATGTAGCAAAGACTGCATTTAGTATGATGTACAAATATTATGAGTTTTTAGTCATGCTATTAGAAGTGATTAATGCCCAAATAGTCTTAATGAAGTTGATGAACATGGGTTTCATGAAGTATTTGAATAAGTTCGTGATAATCTTTATATATGATATTTTATTTTATTTCATATATGAGGAGGAGCATGCAGCACACTTGAGGATTGTTATAGAGATTTTAAGACAACATCAATTATATGCTAAGTTCTCAAAGTGTGAGTTTTAGCTGATGAGCATTTCATTTTTGGGGCACGTAGTGAGTAGTGTAGGCAATTTAGTAGATCCCTAAAAGATTCATGCTATTTCTGATTGGCCAAGGCTTATTAATATTTTAGTGGTTCATACTTTTTTAGGCTTAGCTAGCTATTATCGAAAGTTTATTCAGGGGTTTTCTCGTATTTCTTTATCTTAAACAAGATTGCTTAGAAATCAGTAGCTTTCATATGGACTCCCGAGTATAAGGAAAGTTTTCATCTATTGAAAGATTATTTGAAAATATTAAAACCGAAAAGAACAAAATCATAAAAAATAGAAGTAAGAATATAGCCACTTCAATTATAATAAAATCCATAATAGGAATGACAAAAGAACATGACCCAAATCATTTATATATATATCTCTCTCTCTCTTTCTCTCTCTCTCTCTCTCTCTCTCTCTCTTTCTCTCTCTCTCTCTCATCTATCTCCTTTTCTTCTCCTTTCTCTTATCCTTCTTTTTCTTTCTTCCCATAAAAGGAAACGGTGCAGGTGTTCAAGAGGGAGTGAATGATAGAGATATTTATATTAAAAATATATAAAAAAACTCATTTTAGCGTCTAGCACCGAGATGCTCAAACTACCTAACGTTGCTGCGATGTATGCAATTCTAGAATTATTATAGAACATAATGTATTGGTGTCGTTGCGCCAAACAAGTGCCTTAGCTCTTCTCCCTATAGTGCAACTGGAAAAAAAAAAAGTATAACCTCAACGACCCAGTTCAAAATTTTATAACCTTTCAATATTTTCATTTTAAAATCATTTTCAAAATTTTAGGTTGTTGCAATATGATTTTATATATAATTGTTGAGTGCGATGCTCCATAAATATAATAAAAAATATGAAACATTGCATCGCATGGTTTGTATTGATTTGCTTTATCATATATTATTATTGCAATATTTAAGTGCCTTAATGATATCAGAATTAAGCAGTATCGAGCTCATTGAGTTTATCTCATTGAGAATATTGATTTAAAATATGAGAATGCATGATTACAATAACATTTAATCCCGCAATTGATATTCCAAAAAATATAATTATAATTCAAGTGCTTCATCTATGCTTGTTTGGACTAAGATCTAACCACTTTTGATGTTTATGAATTCATCTCATCAAGACATTCAATATGACTACAAATTGGAGTTTGAGATGTCATAATGAAAGTTTATGATTCAAATATGCAATGAGATTCGTGCTTTTTAAATTTGTTTTTTTGATAATGTGTCTATATTAATCAAATTGGGTTCAAACATGAACTTTATTTACCTATTATTATTTGTCAGTTTTATTTATATGAGACAGACATTTGATTATATTCATAATTATTTATAGTATATAATAAACCAAATCAATAATACTTTTTTTAATCCTTATTCATCTCACTAATCTTAAGAACACTATGATGCTTAGACAATACAAGACTAACAAAATTAGAATAAATTCTAAGTAATGAGTGCTCAACACTCACAACCTTGAAAATGGCTAAAGACACATCATTCATGAGCTCTCACCAAGGAAATATGATCTTGCACAATTTGTGCCAATTCGGGTTTATCCTCAACTTAAACACGATTTTCTAACTTATGTATCTTAACTATTACTTAATTTGGCACTCGACTCCCTCATAAAAGGCCAATGCTTGATATTCATATGTTCTCCCTAAGGGTGACATGATATTTATGAATCACACAAATTTATGCTTATCATCTGCATAATCACAGCTCTATAACTTAGGCTAACTTTTTCCTTGTCATTTGCTCGATAATTTATATGAATCTAGTTGATTCAAAGTCTCTATTTTAAAACACATAACTTTGATAGAGATCCCTACGTTCATAACATTGCTTATTTAATATCTATGTCTGTCTAAATCAAAACTATTAATCAATGTGAAGATGATTTATATATCACGAATCATTTAATATATAATAAGAACTTTTCTTAGTACATACAATTTATGTGACACACAATTTCCAACATTTAAACACTGTCATTGTCAGATCCCAATTCCTGGATGAGAAAAGTGAAGGGCTGTATTAGATAGTCGACAACTAGCGTAAAACTTATCAAATAATCATGACATGACAACTTCCAACATTTAACATGTCATAAAAAAATATGAATAATTCAATAGAGAAAGAGAAGTCATCATTAATTGCATAAATTAGAACTTCTTTCCAATGAAATATTCTCATATTCCTTTGCCATAAAATCTTTATATTGCTGCAATATTGAAAATCCATCAAGCAGGCAGGGTTTAGTAAAACTGCCTATAAAATTATTTTAATGAGTGAAATTATTTTTTAAAGTGCGAGCTATGAATGCTTCACTCCCAGCATTAGAAAAATGTGGCGTGCAATATTGAAGAAATGGATCGCAGTTTTACTTTTTAATTATTGTCTAATCCAACGGCTCCATTGTTTTATGATCTTTGAATTTGTATATTGCTAGAAAATCTTTTTCTGGAGATCGCTATTTGATTTCTACTCACCAAGCCACCCTATTACAGATTTTAAAGATGGTGTGACTGACTATCTCCATTTGCGGATGGGTCTTGTTTTTTGGTTACTTTTTTTGGTGTGTCGAGAAGCCACCTCTCTCACTGTATCTCTCTGTCTTTCTCTCTCTTTTCGAGCAAAAATCAAAATGAAATCGAAGCGAATGGGAAGAGTAATCGGATCAAAAGGAGTACCGGGAGAGGGAGCAAGAGCGTTTGAGAGATGGACAGCAGCGAGGAAGAGGACGATTTCTCCACGCACGAGTATATCACGCCGCAGTCGTGCATTAATGCCATCTACCAGTCGAAAACCGAAAAGGTTTGTTTTTCTTTTTGGGGTTTTTTTTTTTCGGTTGGAATCTTTTCACTCCTCTCGGAACTTTACAGTGCTAAGAATTTAATCTATAGCATTTTTTGATCACGCGGTTAAATTTTAAACTGAAATCCTCATTTGCTTGGATTCCTTTCAATGGCAAAGTTGGTTTGGTCTTAAAAATTTTTCTTGTCTAGGTTTAGCGGCTCTGGTGGCTTTAACAGTGGATTTACTGTAAATTGTTTCTATGTTTCAAGAGCTTTAGTCAGATAAGAGTATTTGCTATCAAGTTTAGCTGTGGGAACTGTCGAGTGGTGGACTGGTTTTTGTGTTATGGACTCGACAGAGATTCGGCGCGGGAGTGCACTTTCAGGGTGAATGTGTTGGTTTGAGAGTCAACGGCCTTGTGAAATTGAGGTTAACCTAAAAGTGAAGCGGTTGCACTGAGTAGAGCTTTTCTTTCTACGATTTGTTCTCTTTGTGCTGTTTGCTTGTACTCTATGTTTGTCCGCTTAAGAATTGAGGTTATATTCTTACTCCTAGATTCATTTGACTATGAAGTTAGCTATGCTGGCAGACAAGATGGCGGTAGTTCATCGGCATTTGGTCATGAAAACTGTTTGGGAGTTAAATAGACCGTTATTCCTGGCAATGCTGGGAATATTTCTTCTATATGCTTCATAATTTAGCAAATATGGAAATGCTGTCTTTGAAATAACCTGTTTTATTAATCATATTAAGTTATGTGAATGCTAGTAGGAGGCATCTTTGATGAGCCTTATTTTCTCAGTTAGTCGCATTCTTTCTTTAGTTGACAGTTTTAAACCATTTCAATACAATTGTAGATTATTTTCAATCTTGTTTTTTTTTTTTGGATTCAGTTTGTGATATTCTCATGCATATGCACAATGAAGTGTTTGTCCTCCTTGGCTTCTTTGTTGATGCTTGAATATACTGTCCAACTTGCCTCTTTGTTTGTGGATTCATAAACATGTGATCTTCTATATGTAGTAAGAGAAGAATTGATGCATAACGGGATGTTTGAGATTGGTTGCGGCCACGCTGTATTAGCTGAACTGTGCATAAAGGAAAATAATCTAAGACTTGGGATGTTATATGATGTAGAACGGGGAGGAGGATTTGCTAGGGAGAGGATCTCTTCTCCAATATATGACAGCAAGTTCAGATTTCACCAAAAACCTGAGAGGAAATTCTCAGATTTTCTCTTGAGAGAATAGGGGTAGGGGAAGGAAGAGTTTGATTGAAAACTTAAGGGAGGATCTAAGGCTGATTGGGAAGAGAGGCAACCCAAGTTGAGGCCTTGGGAAATTTCGGCCTGTGTTGGGTGGAGTTTGAAGAGGATTTAATAGAAGAGAATTAATGTGAGAGGCTTTGGAAAATTCGACCAGCAGCAGTTAGTCTTAATGGTGAAGAGAAAAGCTGAGAGGAAACTTCCTTCACAGGTTATGTAGAGGAAATTCCAATCCCAGGTTTAGGGGAAGAGGGGGGACGGCGGGACAACAGGGAAATTAATGGAGTTCAATTCCCACATCAGTGAATTGATTTGGGGAGTTAGAAAAGGAATTATGGCTGAGAAAAATTCGGCTCTAATTTGAATTTTCAATTGAGCATAAATTGGGGACTTGAATGATAATTGATTGAGGTAAGAATTAAGGAGAAATTAATGAGGGATAGGGGGAAATTTGTGTCTACATTCATTGTATGTGGTCCACGGCAATAATGAAGATGGGGAATTAAAATCTGAAAATAATCTCAGAATTTAATTGATTGAAATGCTTTCCTAAATGGCTTGGATTAATTGGAAAGATTTCCTAAACTCAGCCACATGGAAGGGGGCTGGCGGCATTAGTGGGCCAAGGAGCAGTTAATGTGATGAATTAAGGCCCATAGATTTGGAATTTGGAATTAGGAAAGTGGGGTAATAATTCCAATTTGAATTTAATATTCAAATTGATTGAAATTAAGCACTTTCCTAAAATAGATGAACTAAATTAGGAAAGAAAATTTGAATTTCAAATTAATGAGATTTGAAATTCAAACTCATCCAAATTCGTTCCAACCCAAATTAGGAAAGGAGGAGGGTAAAGAGGAAGGGGAGATTCACGGGTTGGATGGGGGAGGTGGCCGGCGGGTGAGGGTGGAAGGTGGCTTGTGGGAAAAATTTGTGGAGCTTGGTATGGAGGTTTGGCCGAGGCGTTGAGAGGGGAGGAGGAAAAATATGACTACGAGGAGCAATAAGAAGGAACAAACACAAAAACAAAAAGAAAGATAGAAGGTAAAAACAGCGAGCCTTGGACTCTTCCGAAGACTGACGGGTGATGCTTTGCCCTTCTCCAAGGGACTTCAAGTTACGAGCCCGGACCCATCCTGCGGCTGGTGAAAACTCCGATTCCTCTCATAGAAATCTTACTATCGTCCTCTTCACAAGAACACAAGTGTGGAACACAAATTTTTTATATCAATAATCCATCCTCATTACAATATCTTAAGGCCATATATATAGGCCACAACATAAGAAAACTCAAAATACAAAATTGCCCTTTGGGCCACAACACTCACATAAACCAACTTAGGGGTAAAACAGGAAATACATCAAATAAGAACTAAAATTCGAAAAAAAATAGCTCATAATTGAAGATTTAAATTATAGCCGTCGATTTACGACGCCTCCTGTGATAGATGCGCCAAAACTTCGTACCGATGTCCGCATCATTATATCTCTAGATAGAGAGTTTTCTCATTTGTATTGTTGGTAGATATTTTATGGTGGCACCTCTATCGGGATTTAGAGCCTTAAGATCCTTCCAATTTTTAGGCTATGAGCCAATTTGATGACCTCTTCTTTGACTTTCATTCATCTAAGGATCCTAAATTGGTCATGGAAGTTTTACTAAAATGTTAAAAAAACACTATTGACAGTTAGAGCTTATAGAAAATTTCTATCATTTTGTGAAGTTATCACTTTTGAATATTGTTCATATAACTATAGTTTGATTGTTCTCCACTATGTTATGTCACTTTGGCATCATACTATATATTGGGGTTTCAAGCGTGCATTGAATTGAGTTTGGATCAAGCCCTTAATGAGCCATGGCTAGCTTGGAATAATGGCATTAAAAAATCTATTTAAATCATTCAATATTTTGGTCTATCATACTCATCAGAAATCCCTCTTTTTGTAATTGGAGAATGAGTACAATGGTCTAGGATGCACTAAACTAAACATAAAAGACTCTTCAATGTTAGAATGCTTTTTTTATTTCGATGTTTCTCTGTGTTTAACACTCCCTCTCAAGCTAGAACATATATATAAATTTGTTTTTACTTGTTACATAATTATGTGAAAGATAAAGAACTCTAAGCCTTTGCAAAAATGCGAACCACTTGCTTTGAACTTTAGACACGAGGAATGATTATCTTCATAGAAGTTATAATATCGGAATACCTTGCATATTGTGCTAATCAACCTCATAATGTTTTGTCCGTTTATAGAATATTGGATTGCGAACAATATAGATAACTGCTCGATTGTCATAGTACTTAATCATAGGTTGTGTAATGGGAAATTTGAGTTCTCCTAAGAGGGTTTCTACTCTACATCATTTCATATGCAGAATGGGCCATAGTCCCTGGACCTCAACCTTGGATTTGGCCACAACTGGTTGTTTCTTACATTTTTAGATGACTAGGTTCTCTCCAATAATAATGCAACATCCAGTGGTTGATTTCCTATCTTTGATACAACCAACATAATTAGCATCAGAGAAGGCTTCCACATTCAAGTGTTTAGCCTTGGAATAAAATGCTCTTTTTTAGGGCACTTTTTGATATATTTGATTATGCATAGAAAAGCCTTACAATATTTCTGCATTGTATTTTGTATCTACTATATCATAATACTAATAATAATGAATATTCTGCAATAAGTGAAAATTAAATTAATAAAACTTTTAACCAATCTTCATTATCGAGCTGGATCTTGATCATCAAAGGGTTCCTCATTATTAGAAGTGGTCTCAATATCCATAGGAGTATTAATAGATGTAACCAAGGATAAAAATGTCTTTACAAAGATCAATAATGCATTTTCTTTGAGAAAGAGATGCTCATTTTTATTGTAGGAAAATTCTACTACAAGAAAATATTTTGGGTGTTTAGATTTTTAGTGACAAAAGCTTTTGCAGATAATGTTTAAACTTAAAGATATATATCTTTTCTAGTGAGTAAAACTTCATTGATAAACTCGGCCTCTTATATTTCTATTAAGAGTATAATAAACTAGAATACACTCAAATAAACTTGCAACACTCTGCAAATGTACATTGCTTTTCTATTATAATGTTTTTCTATGTTTAACATATACTAAATGAGCTAATGAATGTGCTAGGAACATAACAAAGATCTTTTAAGTACTAAAATTATCGCTAGGTTATTCAGATTTCCTGAGATATGTCTTTCCAAATACTGTAACAAATCTTTTGTTTTACTTTATTGATTTTATTTTCAAGTTTTTTCTTGTTAAATATAATTTGATAATTCATTAATTTTATCTTAAATGGCTAAGCAAGTAAGCATGAATAGATTTCAAGGCAAATTTGTGCATATTTGGTGATGTCTAATTAATCCTGCAAGGCATTGCATTCTTCCTTTTTCTCTTCCCCTTTTTCTCTTTTATGTTTGTCATCAATTTGGTAGTAGACATCATCTCACTTTTGTTGATTGTAGAAAGTTATGTTATAGTTATTTTTTAGCTTAGTTATTAACTCATTATTCTTTGAATGTTCTTAATATGACCTTTATCTGCTTTTTGGTTGGTAACGTTAAAGGCTTAAAGAACTTCTAAGGTTTTCAACTGTGTATTGATGTTGTGTTTTTCTGATATTGCATCATCCAGGAAACAATTCTGCAGAGTAAACAGGTCTTCTAATCTATGGGCAATCAATAAAGAAGTTTTCTATATTTTCTATACGTCATTTTGATAGCTTTGAGTACTATGCTAAAATCTTAGTGACGCAAAATAGTTTCTTGAATATTTTCGTGATATATACTCTCTTTTATCTATTTCTAGTTGCTACTTGGTGGAGGCATTCTATAATCCCAATGCTATATTTACAAAGTTTTTGTAATATTTTTGTCTTCTAATTCTTCTTTGTTGATACTTGTTAAAATCCCAGCCATCCCTTGACACTTAATCCCACGGCCATATGAGAATCCGTGGGAGGCTCACCTGGATCATGCCGATCTTTGTTAAATCCCAGTCGTCCCTTGACACTTGATCCCACAACCAGCAAGGGAATCCTAGGGAGGCTCACCTGGATCATGCCAATCTCCTTTTATATTTGGGTGGCTTATTTAAGAAGGGTTATATTAAGACATCTTGTATAGAATATAGATCTATAAATAGGGATAATTTTGTTTAATAAAATTAATTTTTTCCCTCTTTAATTTTCTGAATTTAACATGGTATCAAAGCCTTCATTGCCTTGGCCAGAATTCTGAGTTTTTTTACTGCTGAACTTTATGAAGGGAATGCCCGACCTTCCCTTCAGAAACGACAGGGAGCGTATTCCGGCTTGTTTGTTCCAGTATATGTCCAACCAAGAGGGGGAGAGTGTCTCATCCCACGGTTTCTTTGTTTGATCAAGAGAGACAAACATCTAGTGCATCTCGTCTGGAGGAGTCGAGCAAGAACCCTGCGGTCTTTGCGCTCGATCGAGAGAGAATTCTGAGGAATACAAGTTCCCACAACTGGCCTTCATTGCAGGAATTCTGAGGAATCTAGATTCTCACCATCGGCCTTCATTACCGGAATTTTGAGGAATACTGGTCTTTCCACTAGCCTTCATTGCTGAAATTTAGAGGAATGCATGTTCCCACTATCGGCCTTCATTGTTGAAATTTTGAGGAATACTGGTTCGACCACTGGCCTTTGTTGTCGGAATTTTGAGGACCTTCGTGCATCTAAGACTGAGGAGAGATCGAGCAAGAGGGCTCCTCTTACGTGCAATGTCTAGAGTTGACCGAACATAAGCAAGCACATGACCTCTTCATGTGTGTGTTTGGAAAGAGCCAAGCGTTCCCTCTCATGTGAGGGTAGAGACAAGCAAGAGTGCAATACCTGCGCTCCCACTTACGATCAGACCGGAGGGATTATAGGCTTTGCATGCACCTGTATTGGCCTATCCAATAAGAGTCTTTTCAGGTGGAGTCAGATGACCTGGGAAGGAGGAGATTTGTGTGTTGAGTGCTGAGTCGCTTATGACGTGTATTTTTGCTTTTGTTTTTGAAGCTTTCTGCAACCCTAATTTTTTTCCTTTTTTACTGTTGTGCCTCCATTGTCGGCCTTCCTTTGAGAACCGAGATGGAGACAAACTCAAAGGATAATTAATCCACTTTCCATGCTATCCCACCACCAACCTTTATTGCCGTTTCCGATATATTGAGGGCTACTATTCAACGCAACCTTCATTGCTACCATGCACCTTGCTGGTTATTGAGATAGCCTTCATCGCTATCTTTTGCCACAACAATATTTGAAGCTAATTCCTCCCAAAACTTTTACCAAATGAAGGACTTTATGGTGCACCAAGGGACTTGATAACTCTACTTTTTTGGGACTAATTACCAAGCTGAAAATGTTATATATGTGTTCCCAGCTTGAGGGGAAGTGTTAAAATCCTAGCCGTCTCTTGACACTTGATCCCACAGCCAGGATGAGAATCCGTGGGAGGCTCACCTGGATCACACAAATCTCTTTTTATATTTGGGTGGCTGACTTAGGAAGGATTGTATTAAGACAATTATGCATGATTCTGTAGTTATTTGTTTCTTTATTAAGACATCTTGCATAGATCTATAAATAGGGATAATTTTGTATAATAAAATTATGCTTTTCCCTCCCTAATTTTCTGAATTTAACAATACTTAGATTAGTGCTAATTTAGGAGAAACAAACTTATGAGGCAACAAGCCATACAAATATGTTGTCAAAGAGAGTAATGGGACATTAACTTCGAAATATTATTTTGATCTTGTAGAATTAATTTCTTTTTTGTATCAAGTAGTCTTGTTATCAAAGGTGAGCTTGACACTTACCTAGGCACTTGAGCTAGCAAGGTGAAACTCGAGCATCTCAAACATCTCCCAGGCAGGTGCCATCACTAAGGCGCTGCCTAGGTGAGTGACTGTTACCAGTTGCTAAAAACCTAATGATGGGGAAAAGAGTTTGGGTAATAAAGAAAATGAAATAGATAATAACTAAGATTAACCTTATGTTATGGAATCTCTGGACTGAGGTTATTATTTATTTTTTAAACTTGAAACATACATTTTAGGTTTTATTGACGCTTTTTTTGAGCTTACGATTTGGCAAGCTTTTGTCATTTTGGTATTATGAATGACAAAAAACTTGAAAAATGTATTTTTTGCTTACTATATTTTAATATGTTATTATGTTGATTATCATATTATACTCCTTAAAAGTCTTCCTCATAATTAACATAAGTGAAGTTTTCCTCCTTGCCTAAGGCCAGTGCCTAGCACATCCGACATTAGGCTGCTATATCACCTTGAGGCGCCTAACAACTTTAAGAACACTTATAGGAATATATACTATAAAAGCAATGTTTGTGCCAAGGCAATTAATAAAGAGCATAGAGATAAATAAAGGATTTGCATATTGTCTTTTTTAAAATTCTAAGAATGCATATATTTGAGCACCATGGTTAAATGGCTTTGCTTACTTTATATGAAAAATATTTGTGTTAGAATTATGTTGAAGTTATTTCCGTTCTTCAGAATGAAACATTTTGGTATTGAGTTTAGATTGACCATTGAGTTCTTAATCATATTTTACATCAATGATCAATATTACGCCTATATTTTCTTGCATTTGTTTTGGAAATATTTACAAAGAATATTTTGTGGGAGTCTTTTGATGTATGTTTTTTGCAAATCTTATAGTTTTAATTAGTGAGGTCTCAGTTGAAATTAGTAAAAAATTAGAATAATAGAAATAATATTTAGAAGTTAAACATGCTTAGGATTGGTAAAACAAAGATTGAGTATATAATAATAATTATTAGCCAATATTACTAGAAGATAAAATGATACCTAGTTGTGATAAGTTTGAGCATATATTATTTTTGTATAAAAGAATTTATATATAGAAGATGAGATTATTATTTTTAGTTTAAGGTTTGGTATTCAAAATAAAAAAATACATCAGGAACACCATATAATAAGAGAATATCATGAAATGAAATGTAATTTTTGTGCTGCGATAATTTGGCCTGCTATGGTGTATGGATTCAAGTATTGGATGATAAAGAAGTGACTTATAGCGATTTAGGTATCACAAAAATGAGTGTTAAGATCGTGCGTGCCATACTAGAAAAGGTGGATTAAAAAATGATTATATGTGGGGGGATAGTGGGAGTGTCATCTGTTGGGGATAATGCATGTACAATAATGATATAAGATGCGCTAATGAGGCTCGTAGATAGCATCATTGGTTGAATATTAAAAATGAAAAGGTGTACAGAAGAGAAGTGTAAAAAGATTTGCTAAAAGTTGATTTAAAACACCGGATAAGATTGAATGGAAAATAAGGATTCATAAAACCCTATATAGTTATGATATTACTAATGACATTGATACTTTCAGTTGTTTTTAGTTTTACTCATCCTATGCTAGATAGAATTTGAAGCATTCGTCAATAATGTTAACATTTCACTTTTAGTTGTTCTAATGGTTCCCTCCAACTTTGTGCAAGATTTTGAGTGAAAAAACTGAATGCTGTACTTATTTGGATTTCATAAGAGTGCATGTGCATTGATATAAAGTTACATTGAGCTTACATGCTTGCGAAAATTGAAATTCTTAAGATAACATTTTCTTCTTAATCTTGCAGAAATTGTAACCTAACTATATACTTCTATATTCTCTGTCTTTCTCTTGGTTTATACTAAGTCTTTCTTGCAAGCACTACATACACATTTAAATATCAACAGTTAATGAGAATTTTAGCCTCACATTTCTTATGTATATTTGCTTGCAGGATATTAGGAGAATTTGTACTGAACTTTTGGATTTAAAGGATGCTGTTGAAAATTTACGAGGGAATATGTACTCTAAGCACTTGGGTTTCCTGAGGTGAAGCAATCAAATACTTATATGCCTCATTATCTAAAATTTTTGTTGGTGCCACTCGATGGAAGAAGGATTTATTTAGGTGATGACATGGACTAATGTTAAATGGTTTATGCCTAGTTTGTTCATTTATGGTAATAAATATGATGATGCCCCATCCTTTGGCCATTTATTGTATTTGTATAGGTAGGACCCGTGTAATTATTATCCATATAGAGCTTGCCTTAGGAGTACCTTTATAGGTGTCGAATTGGTAATATTGATTGATAATATGGTAAGCCTAAAACATGCATGCCCATTCCTTTCCTATGCCAAGTAAGCATGACCGCCTACAATATAATATGAAAAATAACCTATAAACTCTGTCAGAAACTTGGGACTTATTTTGGAACTGTGAATCATATCAGAACAAGGTGGTTGCCCTAAAAACGTATCAAAACAAGTATGCAAGAGCTATTACTTGTGTTCAAACACAAGGTGGTTTGACCAAGTATTTCCCTATTTTGGTTGGGTTACATCAAGGATCAGCCTTAAGCCCATATATTTTTGCTTTAGTCATGGATGTTTTCACTAGACATTTGCAAGAGGATGTACCTTGGTGTATGTTTTTTGTTGATGTTATACTTCTTGTTGATAAGATTAGAGAGGGAGTTGAAGATAAACTTGAATTATGGAGGTCAACCTTAGAGTCTAAAGGTTTTTGCTTGAGTAGATCTAAAACGGAATATATGGAGTGTAATTTTAGTAGTAATAGACATAGTGAGGGGATTGTGACTTTGGTCGATCAAGTCATTAATAAAAATACATGTTTTAGATATCTTGGATCTATGGTTCAGAGTGATGGTGAAATAGATGAGATATTATCAGCATAATTCAAGTTGGATGGTTGAAGTGGAGGAATGCATCGGGTTTGTTGTGTGATAGAAAAGTACCCCTCAAACTTAAGGGAAAATTCTATAAGATGGTGGTGAGGCCTGCAATGCTTTATGGTGCCGAATGTTGGCCATTAAAAGAGAAGCATAATATTAAGTTAAGTGTGGCAGAGATGAGGATGCTCAGGTGGATGGGTGACTTTACCCTTAGAGATAGGATATGAAATGAGCATATACGTGAAAAGGTTGGAGTAGCTCCAGTAGAAGATAAGATTAGAGAGAGTCGCTTTAGATGGTTTCGTCACATAAAACGGCGGCCTTCCGATGACCCGGTTAGGAGAGTAGAGGTATTAGATTTGACTTATGTTAAGAAAGATAGAGGTAGACCTAAAAAGACTTGGTTAGAAAATATTAGGAATGACTTTTCTTTATTAGATTTAAAGGAGAATTTGACTTTTGATAGGACACAGTGGAGAAAAAGGATTCATGTAGCCGACCCCACGTAGTGAGATAAAGGCTTGATGTTGTTGTTATTGTAATATGTTTTATAATCATTGCAATCACCTTTGCATTCACATTAACTAGTGCTTCTCCATTCATCATAATTTTTTTATTGTTTGAACTTCCTAAAATATTTTTTTTTCTTTGCTTGTAAAAATTTTCTTTTTTGTTGACTTCTTGAATTTGAGCTGCATGTAGAATATCTGAAGAGGTAATCGAAATGGAGCAAGAGTTGATCGAGTTACAGAAACATGTTTCTGTTCAACGAATCCTTGTACAGGATCTTATGAGTGGTGTTTGTCGAGAATTGGAAATGTGGAATGAATGTCAGAATGAGGACCCTAATACAAAGAATGACCTCCAATTTTCTGAGATTGATGAAATCTTGAATTATGATATGGAGGACCCTAAAGTGACTTTATTGGAGACGCTGGACATTTTACTAGTTGAGCACAAAATTGAAGAAGTTTTACTGGTCTTAGATGCAGAAGAGAAGAAGAATCCAGGATTAAGCAACTTCGGGGACAATCCATCGAATGAAGGCTCTTCATTCAAGGAGGCATTCTTGAAAAGGAAAGAAATTCTAAAAGATCTTCTTGTTGGCATTTGTGAACAGCCATCTGTGCGCGTTGCAGACCTAAAGAAAGCTTTATCAGGTTTAGTTAAAGTAGGGCAGGTTTCTGTGGCCCATAAGCTATTGTTGAAAGCTTATGGTTTCCAGCTTCAGAAAAAAATTGATGATTTTCTTCCATCTTGCTCTGGTTATACAGAGACTTTTGCTGCAACTCTTTCTCAGTTTGTTTTCTCAACAATTTTTTTGGTGGCGAAAGACTCGGTTTCATTATTTGGAGACATTCCTGTAAATACAAATCGAATTGTACAATGGGCTGAGTATGAAATAGAGTCTTTTGTTAGATTAGTGAGAGAAAATTTGCCTCCACCTGAGACTGATTCTGCTCTTCGGTCTATTAGCATATGCGTTGATGCTGGTCTCCGACATTGCTCAATTTTGGAAGCACAAGGATTGAAATTTTCCAAGTTGCTTTTGGTGCTTCTTCGGCCTAAAATAGAAGAGGTCCTTGACATGAACTTTAGACGAGCAAGAAGAACGATTATTGATTTAGTAAATAATGATGACATAGAATTTCCATCTTTGCAACCAGGCTCACCTACAGCTATGGTAACATCATCAAACATAATGTTTGTCAGTAGTGGAAGAAGGTTCATGTGTCAAGTTGAAGTAAGTTTCTTAATCTTGCATGCTGTTTATCCAGATCTGAACCAATTAATTGAGAAATCAGGATTTATTTTCTATTGCTAATTCTCTGTATGCACTTGAAACTTTCCTTATTAGTTTCATTAACCTATAGTACAATGTTTCAGCAATATATTTATCTTTTGTTCTTGTGTTAATTAGAATTAGCATATGCGTGTTTCTTTTATTTGGATGTAGCATGATTTGGAATGTTTGATCTCACTACTAGGGATGCAAACGAGTTGAGTCGAGCTCGAGTCAGAGGGTGTTCAATTATTGAGCTTGAACTCGAGTTAAGCTCAAAAGTCGAGCTCGAGTTCAACTCGCGACAGTGTAACGAGTTAATCGAGCCGCTCGATTTTCCAATTTCCAGTTCGGCTTCCCGGTTTCCCGCTTGGTTTCCCACCCAATTTTTGTTTTTCCGCCCGGTTTTAATGGATGACGCTTTGGGAAAGATGCAAATCTCCTCATATAATGAATGCTACTGCTTTGGGATATAAATTTTAAATTATATAGAGCCCATAAACGAGTCGAGCTCGCGAGTTGGCTCAGCTCACTTACACCTCTACTCACTATGAAGTCTATGATAATGACTTGCAAGCTATACACTAAGCATAATAGGGATGATGAATTGCAAGCTGTTCACTAAGAAGAATAGGGATGATCTCTTTCTTGCTTTTAGTTGCTTGGGATAATTTAAATATACTTTTCTTGTTTTTTCTTGCATTGTCAATTGTCATTACTTCCCTTCTATTCTTCACCACCTAGAATTCCAAATCTCTAGCATTTTATCTTAGCTTGTCAAAAATGATTAGCCTTTGTTTCTTTCTCCTCCACTTTGGGAAGCATTCAAATATGGCATGGATTTGTTTGACATGATAACATCAAGGAATATGTTGGAAAGCTGTAGATAAGCATTTTTGGGTAATTTATAGATAATGGTTTTCCTCTTTCAAAAAGTTAGATGTAGCTAAACTATTTTAGAAAAATTTAATAATCTCTATATCAACTAAGCAAAAATTCTAGACATGTTACCTTTAACCTACAAAATAAAAAAAATCCAATGAAAATTGGTAGGCTTTAGACATGAATTATTTAATCTTTAAAAGGATATTCATAAATTATAGTTTCATTGATAAGATTAGATATGACTATGCATGATTTCTATATTAATGTAGGATTGGTAGGCTTTAGACATGAAGTTGAAGATTTTCCTCTAGGGATTTTTCTTATGGTGTGATACTACCAACATTTATTCATAATATGCCTCAATATTCAAAGTTCTAGTTAAAACCTCATTTATGATTCTGGGTAAATTGTAGCTTGAGGTATTCAAAAGTTCTCATTGAATTTCTTTAATAATAAACATATAATGATGATAAGATAGTCTCGCGAGAAATGTGTTTAATTACAAGATCTGTAAGCCTATCATAATATGCAAACATGATAAATTAATTTTATTTACAACCCTTAAAAAATTTATTCAATTCTATCTAATATTTTTTTATTGACCTATATTGTTCTTTAAGTTTATCTCTCATATCAAACATTTTGATTTTGTTTTTGCATGTAACACCATGCAAATAAGATTGATCATGCCCTATTTATGTCATTTGAACAACTTTACTTATTTTAGAATGAAACAAATTATAATCTTCACAGAAGAATTCTAAATGATTGTTCATGTTTCTCATCATAGGTGGAGTATAATTTTGATCCTCATTATAGTTATAGTGTAATCATTTAGAACCATAACTTGACTTTATAAGTTGCATATTTTAATAATTTGGTTGATTGACCTAATTATTATGTATTACTTTTAGTTGACATGGTGATGCAACTATAAACTTAGATGCTAATTTGATGTATGTTGTCTTATGATCTAGGTTCACTTAAAGGGTGCCTTCGAGTCAACTTCGGGTCATCAAACTTGGCTCGAACTTGAAATATTATAACTTAGCTTGACTCAAACTCAACTTGAAATTAAATTACATTTTGATTATGTTGTCCTTTATTCAGGAAATTTTGGGCCAGCTAACACCAAAGTTCATTTTGCATTATGGAGGAATCATTTTGAACAAGCTTCTCCAACTCTTTGATAAATATGTGGACACACTTATCAAAGCCCTACCTGGCACTTCTGAAGACGATATTGTCATGGAACACAAAGAATCCATCTCTTTTAAGGCAGAAACTGATGCTGAACAGCTTGCTCTTTTGGGAACTGCATTTACTGTTGCTGATGAGTTGATGCCTATGGCTGTGACAAAAATTTTGTCACCACAAACTGGAAAAATGGAGGAAAGTGGTGGTTCTTCTGGAAGTACTACTCCAGTTTCTATTAGTGCACCGGAGTACAGAGATGGGAAGAGGCATCTACAACATTCATTTGACAAACTCAGAGACTATTTCTGTAGGCAGTATGTCTTGACTTTCATTTACTCGAGGGAAGGGAAAGCAAGGATGGATGCTCGCATGTATCTAGAAGGGAAAGGAGATGATCTTTTTTGGGATTCAGATCCACTACCTTCATTGCCATTTCAGGTTTTTTTTTTCCTTAAGCTCCAATTGCTTTTTCAATGTAGTCGATAATTCTAACATAACCTGAACTTGTTAGCAATTATTCTATTATGTTTAGGTGAATTTGTATCTAATATTTATTGTTGCTATTGCCAAAGTGAAGGCATAGAAGGATTTAAAAGCCATCTCTTAATATACGGCTGTTATTGTTGCTTGATGTTGATCACTATGAGGATTTGAATGATAATTGATGCCGATGGTACTCATGCAAATATGAAGTTTGATCCTCAATTCAAATTTGTGTCAAAAATTATTTCATACTCATATAGATTAAATAAAATGCTAAATCAAATTGGTTTTACAAAATCTTGAAGGAGAAACTGACACAGCTATAAAATAATTGCCTCAAATTCAATCTTAAAAGTATTTAATGCGCTAAGGTTGGTTCCACCCCTATGGCATTTTGCCTGCCATTTTGTAAAAGATGTCAGCTTTGATGGAGGACTCTAAAATTGGTGATGTGGCCTATTGATTGTTTATACATTTTTTGCACATTGAAAAAATTTTCCCCATAATCTAATCTGTTCTCATTCATCTTTTGCGGATCTATATTGGTTCTTCTTGTCTGTTACTGCACCGACTCCTTTTCATGCATTTAAAATAAGCATGACAAATAGAAGCTTACTTTCTGATTGTCTTTTTAACTTTTTTTGCTATTTTTTTGTAGGATGTTATGGGGCCTAGAGTTTCTAATCAAGTTTTATTATGAGATGCAAAATCATGTAACAGAGCACATAAAATTCACCAATAAAGAATTCTTATTTTTTAAAAACCATTCCGTACTCTTGAGTCTTGATGTAAGGTGAAAACTTGAGGAAAAATAATTAAAATGATAATCCAATAGCCTTTTCCTATAAATAACAGAGAAATCAAATTGAGGGATTGCGACGCCATCGAATCAAATTAGAAGGTCTTGCCATCATCAAATAGGGAAGCTGCTTTTGGTTTTATCTTGAATAAGTTCATCGCATTTTATAGTTGTGTCTTGTTGGTAATGTGTTAGACCTGAACTGATCCAATCTGGACAGATTCAAGTCTATGCCCGCCGGTCCAAAGGGGGAGGCAAATAAGAGAGGGGGGGTAGCATTGGTGGGCCCCATGGCCTAAATTAGATAGGGTTTGGGAGGGAAATTTTGAATGAAGGGTTGTCTAGGGATTAATTAATTTTTCTTTTGCTTTAATTAGTTTTTCTTGTTAGGGTTTGGGGGTTATCTTGAGTTTGAAATCAAATTTGAGATCTAGGATTTGTTCATTTGGGCTCTAGGCTTGGCTAGAGATTTGGAGAGCCATTTCTTCCTCTCGAATTGAATAAACTTATATTGGTTGCTGTTTTCTTGCATCTACAAGTGGATTTCTTCGTTGTTTTCTCGGTTTTCCCCAGAAGAAAACTGCTGTAAAGTGCTGTTTTACTGCTGTAAACAGCAGTATTTCCCACTGTTTTTACCAATTATTGTTAGGATTGTTTGCGAACTCAAGTATTTCCCTTAGGGTTACTTGCGAACTCAAGTACTTCCTATCATAATGCTTTTAATATATATATATATATATATATTTCAAGAAATGATTGTTTCTTTTCCTTAGAGTTTCTTAAACATTATTTCGTCTTGGTAACTCCCGTGCTATTATTTCTAGGCCTTATTTGCACGGTTACAGCAACTAGCAAGTGTGGCTGGTAATGTTCTGCGTGGAAAGGAAAAATTACAGAAGAATTTGCTTTCAAGACTAACAGAAACTGTGGTCATGTGGCTTTCTGCGGAGCAGGAGTTCTGGGATGTTTTTGAGGACGAGACCATCCAACTTCAGCCATTTGGACTGCAACAAGTATGTTACATGATTGGTAGTTGAACCCAGTTTCCCATTGCGCCTTCTATTTATTACAATCATTTAATTTTTTTACTTTGCTTTTAACTTCTTCATGGGTGTATTTGCTTGAAAATAGTATCAGTGAATTTCTACACAAAAGATCTTTTCCCAGTTCATTGCCACTTCTAGTGGCAATTTCTGAAGAATCAGTTCGATCAAGCTTGACATTTTTTATAATCATTGTGCATCATATATTTTACATCAGTAAATGTGGCTCACGTTTCTTGAGAATTTAGCATTAGCTTTTATTCATAATTCACCATGTAGATGCCTGATGATTCTGAGATATATTTGATACCAACACTCTGATGATGCCTTTTACATTCGAGTCAATCTTTAATCTTCTAAATAATGGAAAGTAGTAATCGTGAAAAGGTTGGAGTAGCTCTAGTGGAAGATAAGATTAGAGAGAGTCGCCTTCCGATGACCTGGTTAGGAAAGTTGAGGTATTAGATTTAACTTATGTTAAGAAAGATAACGGTAGACCTAAAAAAACTTGGTTAGAAAATATTAGAAATGATATTTCTTTATTAGATTTAAATGAGCATTTGATTTTTAACGGGACACAATGGCGAAAAAAGATTCATGTAGCCGACCCTACGTAGTGGGACAAAGGGGCGAAAATGGATTCATGTAGCCGACCCTACGTAGTGGGACAAAAGCTTGATGTTGTTGTTGTTGTAATAGTAATTTATGACTAACAAAGTTGGGAATATCATACATTTGCAAATGATGTATAGCCGTATAGGGATTCATTTTAGTTATCATTTATAAAGCTGATATCCATCCCTCCTTTTTCAGTTAATCCTTGACATGCGCTTCATTGCTGAGATCACAGTGTGCGGTGGATACTCATCAAGAAATATACAACAGCTTGTTTCAGTCATTATCACTCGTGCAATTGGAACTTTTTCTGAAAGAGGCATCGATCCTCAGAAGTATGACTAAGATTTCATTTGAGACGGCTTTCTTACTGTTTCTTAAAACAGTTTTTTAATACAAAATTTTTTGTACTAAAAAGCTGTTTTAAGAAGCAGTACGAAATTCGTCCCAAACAAGATCTAAATTTTACTAGAAACCTAAACTTTCTTTTGATCTAATGCTGCCTATATTCCTGAAGTTACTACTTCAATTGCAGCGCTCTTCCAGAGGATGAATGGTTCGCTGGTACTGCCAAGGCTGCAATAAGCAAGCTTCTCCTGGGAACCTCAGCATCTGAGTCATCAGAAGTAGAGCCTGACGAGCATTTGATTATCCACGAAGAGATTTCTGATACAGAGAAGACGCCTTCGAGCCCATCTTCAACCACAGAATCGTCAGACTCTTTTGCTTCTGCTAACATGGGGGAAACTGAGAGCCCAGTTTTCTTCTCTGATCCTGAAGCTGAGTAACGGTAACAGAAGAGTAACTTAGGCTTTGTTTGGGACAACTTTCTTACTACTTTTTAAAGTTTTGTTTTAGTACAAAAAAATTAATTATTGTACTAAAAAATCAACTCTTATAAATATATGTCACTGAAATTTGATGTCTTCTATAAATAAAATTATGTCTTGTGTTTTTTTATAAATTCCTTTTTTTTGTTTTTTTTTTTTTAAGTTTGATGTGTTATTCATTTAAAGAAACTATTTATAGGACACCTTTTTTTTTATTTTTTTATTCTTAATGAATCTGTTCTATTGTGAGATTATTAAAGCCTCTATTAAAAAAAGTGAAATAATTAAAATGAACTTTTTAAATAGTGGAAATCATTTTGGTCATTTATCAAGAATCAATGAACTATTTTGATAATTATCTCATATGTATGTTAATGATCATATTATCAATTAATTTTGTAATTAATAATTTTATTAAAGTTTAATTTTTTGTTGTTAATCCGGTTAATTAAGTGCATATGAGAACTTAACTAATTGAATTATCATAAATTAGTTGAGTTCATAAATATCATAAACTCATAGTGAAGCATGCTTAAGTAGTTTACGCTTCATGTAATATTGTTATACTAAGGGGCTAATTGGTAAAAGTAGAATTTAGTAAATCCCTTAAATTTTGGTGTGTTAAATTTTAAAATCTGTTTGAAAAAATAGCTGTTAAATTCTGTGAAATCTTATGAAATTGTTTGACAATGTAATCTAGAATTTAAGGAAATTGATTTATTTAAAAATTAAATTTAATGTGTTTTAAATTTAATTGCATGTTATGTATAAGTTACTTATTAGTTTCAAATTTAATTATGATAATAAATTATGATGATAAATAATTTAATTTGAACTTAGCTTAATTATTAAACGATTTAATTATTAGTTATAGTACTATTTATAAAATTATTTATTTAGGTGTTAATTTAATAAATATTTGATATCTAATTATATTAATAATAATTTAATTAATTAGTTAATTGTTTAATTAATACTCATATTATTGATTTAATTAAATTTATGTGTTATTTAATTAGTTTTAATTATTTTTCTTCATAATTAGTTATTATTATTATTATGTTATTAATTAGGGTTTAGAGTTTACATAAGTAATACTTTATTTCATGTTATTTATATATCTAATGCACAAAAATTTAACATTACATTTCTACCGCTCATATAAATTTTTAATATTAAATATATCACTCATATATTTCATTCTTACCACCAATACCATCCTATAAACTCTAATATTTGATTATATGCATCTTTGTTTATTCTATGGGTGATAACATGTGATATTAAAGCTTTAGACAGTGGCAGAGCCATAAATCTTATTTGGACAACTGTCCGCTTCCATGTCTGGGTGATAACAGAGATAATTGTCCGCTGCCACGTTTGGCTTCGCCATTGCCATAAATATTTATTCTATGGGTGATAACAGAAACAACTATCCGCTGCTACGTCTGACTTCGTTTAGCTCGCATGGCGGTCCATAAACCCCGACCGATCTACCAGGCCACCCACGCCACTGTACCCGTACTTGGCGCTTTTGGGCCCCCACTGAAGGGGCGACTACCACTCGAGGGAATTAAACTCATGATGGAGGGTTCCCAACCGAGCACGCCCAACAACCAAGAGCTAAGCATCGGCGGGTATTTATTAAATTTTAATTACTAATTATTTTATTTATCTAGGGTTACTTTTCATCTTATTTGTTTGTTGCTTCAGTACTTCTTCGCGTGAATTCGTGTATTCGGCTGAATTAGTGTGTTGAAATTTGAAAGAGTAGCTAAAGAAGCTTCTTAGCCTCCTTCCACGACGTCCGATCGGAAGTGACGACGGGAACTCTCTCGTCGTTGCGAAGGTAACCATCTTTATCCCTTTCGCGTGCTCTTCGGCCAAATCCCGTAAATCCGTCGAACAGAAGGATTTAGTACATCCTGCTCAAATCCTGCATAAATCCTGTTGCCAAACATCTCTAAAACAAAAATATTTATTATCCAAATACTTAACCTACGCGAGCTTTACAGGCCCGAGAAGCAATGAACTTCTCGGATCACTGGCGTTCCCTGTGGCCTGTCGCCTCCGTCTCGCACGCCCCTAATCTTCTCTCCGGCGATCAGGCCGCGACCTTGGGTCCGCTTCTCTTCCACCCGTCGCCTCCGTGCCACACGCTCTTCGCCTCCTCCTCACTAGCCCTCCGTATCCCGCCATCGTCGCCTCCACCCATCCTCGACGATATTCAATCCTTCTTCCGTTGCCCAACCAACGGGTCCTTCCTCCCCACTACAGACCAGTTCTACCTCGCCGCAGACATTCAGTCCTCTCTCGTTTCTGCTTACAGCAACTCCCTTGATCCCCTTTCCTGCAACAGCCTCCATGCCCTTCCATGCCATGACGGATTCTCTGTTCTTCTGTTCTTTCCGACGGGAGATAATGCCGATGAGATTGGGTTTGTATGCCTTCGCTTCAGGGATGAATGCCTGAAACCGGAGGTTGGGGTTGATCTTGGTGGGGATATCTTCAAACAGAGGGAAGGACTGAAACACCCTCGGCACCGGATACTGAAGTTGTCGGTTGTTTCTTCGCCCACATATTCTTCTTCGCCGACTGATACTTCTATCACAGAGGGTTTTCTAATGGCTACCACGTTGTATTCAGTGAATTGGTTTAGAGTTGAAACACGGAGTACTGATGTAGGAATGCTGAAACCTTTATTGATGCCTCTGGCCAAACAAGGGTTTTCTAGTTGTGTAGTAGATGCTTGTTGGAGCCAGCATTTCTTGGAGGAGAGTGCTGTGCTGCTTGAAACTGGAGAGCTTTGTTGGTTTAATCTTGTTACTAAAAGAGGTGGTACTCATAGGATTGAACTTGGTGACAATTCTGATACAAAATGGTTGGGATGCAAGTTTGGCGGGCAGCCATGGGTTATTCTTGCTGCTTCTTCTATCAATGTTGTTTTGGTAGATCTGAGGCCTAAGAGGATTAACGAGTTACCCAAAGTTTTGGCAAGTGTTAAGTTGCCTGATTTTCTTGGGGTGGTTTCTATGAAGGAGAAAGATACTTTTCAAGCATTTTGTCGAGCAAATTTTAATGATTTTCACTTTACTGCAGTGACTGAGAGATTGTTGATACTCTTTGATGTTAGACAACCATTAGTTCCCATCTTGACTTGGGATCATGGTTTGGAGCATCCTACCTATGTCTCTATGTTCAGATTGTCAGAGTTAAGAACTTCTGAGGAGTTTAAATCGGTCTCTGAATTAGGTTTTGTGATTTTGGTTGGTTCATTTTGGAAGAATGAGTTCAAAATTTTTTGCTATGGCCCTAGTGATAAAGGAGCTATTGGAAGTTCATTTTTCGCATGGCAGCTTCCGTCATTACTTTCATTGTCTGGTAAACACTGTAGTTCTATTGATGATCTTGTTAGAAAGATGATGTCTAAGGAGAACCATCCTAATCAGGACATGCTACTTAGAAATGAAGGAATTGCTGGTTTTTGCATAGTACGGCCAAATATTCTCTTGAAATGCAGATCAGAACCTGGTGTTTTCGTACTAATTAGACTTACATTATCAGGTAGACTAGAGATTCAGAAATATCATTCTTCTTCTGATTCAGAAAATGAAAATCGTATATGGCAAGGAATAGACTTGCAGGAAACAAAAGATTTCACCATTTACAATACTCATGAAGGCAACAAGGTGTCTAGTCGGTTTTATTTCTTAAAATTGTGCTATCTTTCTAAATATATGAATGGAAACCTGTCTGATATGTTGATTGAGCGCTATTTGGAATTGAATGGCAAAGGAAGTAAAAATGAAATTTTCACTGATGATCTGATAGAACTTTTAAGCTGCAAACTCCAATCTTCCAGCAGCTCTATTTCTTCTTTAATTGCTGATGTGAGCATACCCACAAATGTGTTTGAGGTTGTATCAAGACGAATATTGACTACTCTAAAACCAGAATTTCTATCATTGACATTTACTAAATATGAAGAACTTTTAATAGGCCATGCTGACACCACCTTTTTGCCATTGGAGTTTCCTAAATGCTTGCCTCATCATAGATTTCCTCCTTTCTTTGTGAATATTCCTTCAAGGAGATCAGAATTTTTACCAAGTACAGTACTTGCTGCGGATGCTATTGTTGGTCCTTTACTTCCCCTTCCTGTTCTTCTAGTTCTACAACAAAAGGGCATGGGATGCACAGAATTTTCCAATGAGGAAGAGCTAGATGATGACCTATTGAACCTTGAATGCAAGCGTGTCTTGGAGTTTATGTTTCCAGAAACGTCCATTGCTGACAGTTATGATTTTAGTGGATTGAGGGTCTCTCAAGTGTTTCAAGATGACGAACAATTTTTTGTTTACAGGCCGACATTGGGAGTTTGTAAATCAGTCTTCAATGATGCCAGCATTTCATTTCCAAATGAAAAGACTCAATCTCAAATTGATTATTTATCAGAAAATTATGTGGTAGCAAAGGATACACCAAATGATGAAAAATTTACGACATTCGTCTGTGGTAATTTTGACAAGAAATATCCTCTAGATTGTGGAAGTGAAGTGAATGATTCTGAAATTTTTGATGCTAGTCCAGTGAAATTGGATTTTGAGTCATTTGATGTCATGTTGCAACCAACCGAAATTTTATTTTTAAATTCATTGAAGAGACAAGCTTCCAAATGGTTGGAAAATAATAAATCTTATCAAGATTTTTGCACTTCATCAAAAATCTCGGATGTAATTCTATGATTTATGAAATTGTGTTGTATCAATTTGGATCACATCTGAACCATCACAGCAATCAATTGGAGGAAAATTCATTTATTTATTTCAATTCTCAACTTCTACATTGAATGCTATATATTCTGATTTATGTTGCAAGCATCTCGAAAGGTGTGCAAGTTTATAAATCATTTATTTGATTTAATGACAATTTATTTCTCATCTTATATTTATTATCATAATATTTATATTTCAAAATCAATTATTGAAAGTTACTTTGACATCATGAATTTTACATGTGATAATCATATTTTTGCTGAATATTTTTCGTCTCGGAGAAGTTTATACCTATTGAATTTATTCTAAATTTATCAACTCACATTGTCTTCTCAGGTTACTATTAAAATTTTCCAAGCTCAATGGGCAGATTGTGTCGATGCTAGCCTATAATTGAATTGATAGGTATATACTTGCAAGCCTATTTTCTTTAATAATCATTATTTTTTTAATTATATTGCGATATATGTTATGTTCTTTATTTTTTTTTGCTTCATAGCATGCACTGTTGTTGTTAGAAGAATCATCTAGAGATCATCTGATTTCTATTCATTGTAGAAAATGTTCTTATTTGGTTAATTTTTAAACATAATTACTACTCATTATCATTTAAATGTTCATAACGTGACCAAAACAAACAATATCTTAATATTTGAGACTTTGTGTTGTGACAAAGATTTTGTATGCTTTGACTTAACAAGTCGTATGATTTAAACCTATTGTCACAACTACTCAGGAAGCTGACCCATTCTATAGAGTGCTCGACCATGACGTGGTCATCTAATTTTGGAGTTTCTTATGAAACATCACCTGTTGAAGATGAATCAATGTTTCATATTATTGTATTTAAGACACCTTGAAGAGCTTACTTTTCTTTATCTATAATTTCATACATGTATAGTCCAAGTTTATGTGAAGCACTAACCAAGAAATTCAGCATGCAATGGCCTCAAAGGTAAGCATTTTGGTCAACTACTGGGTGTGGCTTGATTGCCATGCTGCTGTGAAAAATATCATTTGTATTATGTATGTGCCTATGCCCGCCAGTCCAAAGGAGGAGGCGGACAAGAGGGGGTGGGCGGCAGCATTGTGGGCCCCATGGCTTAAATTAAACAAGGTTTGGGAGGAAAAATTTGAATGAGGGGCCGTTTAGGGATTAATTAATTTTCCTTTTGCTTTAATTAGTCTTTCTTGTTAGGGTTGGGGGTTATCTTCAAATTGAAATCAGATTTGGGGATCTAGAGTTTTCTTTTGGGCTCTAGGCTTGGCTAGAAATTTGGAGAGCTGTTTCTTCCTCTCAAATTGAAGAAACTTGTATCGTTTGCTGTTTTCCTACGACTATTTATGATGAGGTCATCGACAGACATTTTAGGCAGGTTTATTGGCGAAAGAATCGTAGATCGACGGCTACGATCGGGAGTTTATATTTTTGATGTTATCATGCCATTTTTTGTTATTTTATTTTGTGTATCTTTTATTTCATGTACTAGTGACGATTTCGCCCTTATGTAGGCGTAGTGTTTATTGTAGCCCAAGGGGCATGTGAGTCTTTTCATGCTTTGAGATCTTTATAAGGAGATCTCCTCTTATTGTATGAGTTGATGATTGATTAATGAAAATTTTCTGAAATTTATTTTGTCTTCTTGCTTGAGAGAAAAGAGAGAGGAGACCTAGGTGAGGCTCCGACCGCAATACCCAACAGCCCGCCCCGGCGAGCTCTTGGTTTTCCCTATAAGTCGCTGTTTTTTTTTTCTTCCCTACTAATCCCTCCATACACCCGCCCACCCCCCTGCAGCCAAATCCCGAAACCCCTCTCCCAGCTCCGCCTGAACTCCCTCACCCGCTCCCTTCCACCCGCTGTGCCAGGGGACCGCTCCAACCATCCCGCCGAACCACCTAGCCAGTCCGCCACTTTCCCTGGGAAGATTCTGCCGCCCAATTCCCCTGGAATTTTGAAATTCTTGCAATCAAGCCTTTCATTATTTCTTTCCTAATGTAACTCCCTACATTAGGAATATATCTAATTGAATCTCACCCCAATTTGAATTCAAATTTCAACCTCCCTAATTAATTAAATTCCTGAATGTTAAAATCTGGATTTAATTAATTAATGGGGCCCACTACTTAAGCAAATTTCCCCTCTTTCTTCCTTTGCTTGGCCGGCCCCAACACACAGCCTTTTCTCTCTCTTTGCCACATCATCGCCTACTAATTACCCCCTTAATTTCTCTCCATAATGGCTGCCTTTTTCTTTTAATTGAATTGAAGGAGAATTGAATGATAAAATAACTTCTCCTTTCAAGCCTAGAAAAATCTGAAATTCAAATTTCAGATTTCCTCCTTGATTCCCCCTAGCTCTCGGCCTAACCCCCCCTTCCTTGTTCTCTTCCCGCCTTGCCTCAATGTTGAATGGCGGATCCGGAGCTTGAGTGGGGGCTAGTTTTCCACGCCGACGGGAGCATCGATATCCTACGCTCTCCTTGCTTTGACGTAGGATTTGAAGACGACGCCACAATCGAAGAGTACTTGGAGCGAGTCGTCCCTATCCTCGCAAGTATTTTCGACCGACAATTTCGTGGTTACACTTGGACGATCATTGGACGCCATCCGCCACCACCTTCTTCGGTGAATACCTCTCCGGTAACGAAGTCTTTCGTCGCCTTCATCGTAGTGGTGCTCCTCCTCCTCGCATGATTCTTTATTCTCCGCTAAAGCCCAAGAGTGAACGAGAGAGAGAATGGTACTCAAGGTGAACTTCTTTATTATTAATTGCGGGATTTTTGTTATAAGCATTTAAGTACCTCTTTTATCTTTGAATGATATGATTGGTTTGGTTAACTCAAAGCACATCTTCGCCTAAGCAAGTTAACTACTTTGAACGATTTAACCCTTTACTTTTGTTGGTAATAAAATTTGTTATGACAACGCTTTGATTAATCTTTATTTTAATTTCCGAACGCAATTCCTACATTGATTCACATCATATTTGGTATCAGAGCATGGCTAGCATGCTTTGCTCATGCTAGGTGCATCATAGGAGTCTACTTTAGTTTGCCTTAGTCGTTTACATGCATAACATCACCTAGGTAGTTTTATTTTCTGCTTGCATTTTGCTGTCCAGAAAATTCTGCAGCGATTTCTGCTTATTTACATGAGCATATTTCATAATTTAGTGCTGCAATCATTACATTCACTTCCATAATAGTCTAGGCCACGTACGCGCTTGCTGTCCTTTATTTTTCTGCACTTGGTTTAGCCTTTAGATTGAGTTTTGGGTTGTGTCTAGCTGCTGTCCACCGTTTCCTGCAACCTGTAAGCTTCCGAAAACGAGTCTAGAGTTGCTGTTTTGGTGCTGTCCACACCCGGAAACCTTGCCGAAACTCTTAGGTAGTTTCCTTATCACTAGTGCTTGCTGCCCGTGACTTTACAGCTGCTGGAATTTCATTTCCAGCAGGTTTTGCTGTGATTGTCGCTGCTGTCCTTGACTTAGGAAGCCGTCCTAGTGATCCCTAGCACCCAACCATGGATCCTACCCATCTAGTAGTCTTGGGTTAGCCTATTCCAACTGTTAGCCATTAGAAGCCCAAAGCCTCAGGAGTGTATTGCAAACAGAGATATTAAAAACAAGCAGGGTTTCCATCGCGTAATTTTTTGGAGGCTTGCTGCATTTTCATTTGGGCATTGTTTGTTTTTTGGTGGGAAACTGATTTTTATAATTAGATTTTCTTATGGTGTGGTAGCTGATAAATTGTCATCCGATTTTTTCTAAAATTAAAAAAAAAGTTTTAATACCCGCAACAATCTTTAAAAAAATTGATTTCTCACAGCAGATCTACAATTACCATTACAAAAAGTTTTATCCTCCTAAAAATAAATAATTTCAAATTTATCATACAAATATATAGCAAAAAGGTTGTATGGATGATATTGAGGGTTGCCTACTTTCTTTATTGAAGCTATTTCAGACTGTTTTCTATATGCAAACCTTTTATATTTTTATTGGCGTCAAGTTTTGTGTTGGGATGAGAGTTAAGGCATTTAATATGTTCTATCTACCAAATGCATTTGTAAGAATTGCTTGAATATAGAGGGTTTGAGGGTTCATTTGCTTCCTCTAAAATATTAATGGATTCTACATAGATATGAGGCTTGTGTATCCTATTGCTTCACTTGTAATTTAAGGCTAGTCATTTTGATTGATGGGAATGATAGAGAGATTTTTTTTTTTTTTTCCTGAAAAGCTAGATGTCCTAGTTTTATGCTTGCTTGAGGCTGGAACACAGGCTTATCATTTTTAAACTTTGAACAAGGTGCAGTCTGTAAAGCATGTTTATGAATCATGCCTTCCCTTCTACCATCGAATTGCAGTGTATGATGATCCTAACTTTTGAATCGTAGGGAAAAGTACATATTTATACCCTCGTCTATTTTAGGGTATTATTAGTTATCACTTAAAGATATGTGGTATAATTCTTTTTTGTGAAAATGATTCCTTAATTTTTTATGAAGTACCAAAATGATCCACAACTATATTAAATGACCATTTTGATCCCTCAGGTCTTTAAAAAGGAACCAAAATAGTCCCACGTCTGTAAAGAGTTGAGGGACGAAAATGATACTTTAATATTGTTGGAGTCATTATTGATCTTTCATAAAAAGTTCAGTGACCATTTTGATTATTTTTTCTTTCTTTTTTGCAAGTTATTTCCTGGTGGTCGTATGATTATGTGGGAAAAATCTTAATCTTCAATATCTGATGGATCTATTCTTCTCTTCTTTTCTTTTACCAGCAAGAATGTGATGAACTGGCTAGGAAGGTGGCTGAGCTGAATTGTCAGTACAGTGCACTTAGAATGGAGCTAGAGCAGCTTCACAAAGTTTTCCGGGATCTAGAAGCAGAAAATCAGCACATAGTGCTTGGCTAATTTTCACTGTTCACTTTATATTTCCATAACCCTGAATTTGTTATCTAATACTTTCAGCTGTAAGAACTCATTAAATAATATAGTTTTGCAGTATATTTTGCTCACACCTATCAACGGTCTTTCATTTCATGAACATCATCTTTTTTTTTACATTAAAAAAAAAACATCTTGACATCCTATATTTAGATTCTTCGGATTTGTTTGGGACAACTTTAGATGTTTGGAAAGTAGATGCGAAGTTATTGTTAAAAACATATTTCTCAAACGGACCTTTAATATTTTCAAAATACATTCTTGTTGACAAAAATTGATCTTATTTGATCAGGATGAGCTTAGCAATATCCGAGAAGAATCATCTATCACTTTGAAACAAGTTGTTGGCGATCATATTGTCAATATTCCTTTGAGCTCTACTACTGCCTCCACCAAGATGACTGCATTTGGCAATCCTGATTCCACTTCCAGGTGAATTTGACCGCTTGTTCTCAACAACTAATCGGAGGTGAAATCTCTATCTGCACTATTTTTTCCTTGCAGCGTAGATCGTCGATTGGAGCAGATGTGACGAAGGCCGGCGGTGAATGACCTGCAAAGGATGTTAGCGGAAGAAACAAGAAGAAAACAGAGGAAGAGAAGGAAGGGGGGATGTGGGATTAGTTATCTTGTTTTGAGAGGAGAGAGCTTTGATATTTATGTTAGAAATTATAAAGTTTTAGGTAGGTTGGTAACCTAGCAAGCTGTTAGTGTTCCAAAGTTGTGTTAACAGTTGGAGAATTCCAACTTTAACTGCACAGTGTAGTTGTTATATCTAAGAAATCATTTGGTTTGATGTTTTTTGCATGGCTAATGTTTATTGTCATAATATTTAATTTCAAAATCATGAATTTTAGATGAGCTAATTATATTTCTGTTTAATATTTTTCATTGTGGAGAAGTTTATACCTATTGAGTTTATTCTAAGTTTATCAACTCATATTGTCTTCTCAGGTTACTAATGAAATTTTTCAAGCTCAATGAGCAGATTGTGTTGATGCTAGCCTATAATTGAATAAATAGATATATATATACTTGCAAGCCTGATTTCTTCAATAATTAAATTTTCTTTATTATATATGATACATATTATGTTCTATAGTTTTGTTCTTCATGGAATTGACTGTTGTTATAAGAATTATCTAAGCATCATCTGATTTATATTCACTTTAGAAAATGTTCTTATCTGGTTATTTTTTAACATAATTACTGCTCATTATCTTTTAAATGTTGTTAGGCTTTGTTTGGGACGACTTTCTTATCGCTTCTTAAAGCAGCTTTCTAGTACAAAAGTTTTAATTTTTATACTAAAAAGTTGCTTTAAGAAGCAGTAAAAAGACGTCCCAAACGAAGTCTAATAGACTTCGTTTGGGGCAGTCTTTTTGTTGCTTTCTAAAATAGTTTTTAAGTACAAATTTTTTTTTGAATTAGAAAATTTTAAACTAAAAAATCGTTTTAGGAAGCAATACGAAAGCTGTCCCAAACGAAACTTTAATGTGACTTTATCTGCTTTTTGATTAGCAACTTTGAGGCTGGAAGCAATCTTTATAGATTAAGGCTTCGTTTGAGACTGCTTTCTTACTGCTTATTAAAGCAGCTTTTTAGTTTAATTTTTTGTACTAAAAAGCTGCTTTATGAAGCAATAAGAAAGTCGTCTCATATAAGGACACTTTTAGGATGCAATGGTGTATTGACAGCTATTTTATTAATGTTACATCATCCAAGAAACAACTCTGTAGAATAAACCTGTATTTTATGTTATGAATCCAATATGCTATATCAATGATTTTTTTTTATAATTTATGGCTTAAGAGAATTGGGCAGCTTGTGGTATTTAAACCCAAAACCCTAATTAGGAGGTCATAATATCGAAGCTCGTATATGTGATGTGTTTATCAGTTAGCCTTAATGATTCGAATATCCCCCAAAAATATTAAGACTGCTTTCTAACATTAGCAAATAAAAGATAATGCACAACTCTTGCACCATCTTAGCTACATCAAAAGAGTCATTTTTAAAGACTTTTGCTTGTTTGTTGGTATAAGAAAATTCTCAAAAAATAAATATGCAATACCCAACTAATCCATAAGTTGTGCTTGTGAACATTGAATGACAAGAAAATGTCTACATTAGAAGACTAAGCATTTTAAGTGAGAAGGAATTCAATATTAGCAATGCCTTGGAGATGCTTATGTAAGCACACCTCTACACGTCAGCTTGCCTACGTGTATCATCTCGTGTACTTTCTTGCATTCTTGTTCTTGGCCTGGATGACCTATTTATGTAATCGATTATAGCGCATAAATAGATGATTTTACTGTTTACTCCGTCTCTCTCTGTCCCATCTCTTACTCGCCAGTAGGTCTTTCATGGTATTAGAGCAACTATGATTGATCAAGATTTGATAGCTTCCATTCCAGCCATCTCCAATCTCTCGGCCTCTCTCTCTTTGAATTCACTGTTCTAGCTCCGTTGAAATTTATGATTTTCAATCTCAAGACTCTCGTTCCAACCCAACTAACGCCAGATACGTATGCCATATGGCGCATTCAACTTCTACAACATTTTTTGGCAAATGATTTTTCCGGTCACCTCACCGAAACCACTCTTTGCTCGTTCGATCCTTCCAATTTCGATCCCCAACTATGAAAATTAATTAATTTACAATGATTTTCTTTAAGAATCTCCATCAACATTCAACACTATTAGTTTTGTAAGTATTAAAGCAGAGCAAATCACACTTAAAGTTGTTATCGAGAAAGTAATATTTTAAAATTATTATTATTATTTTGGGTCATATTTAGATCAATTAAAATAAATATACACACATTTTATATTGGAGACTTAAACCTAAGACTTATTGATTGGTAATCAAAGATTTTAATGAATAGATCAATTTAAAATTATTATAAGAAGCGGTTTTTTAATATAAAATATTTTTAAAAGTAAAAAAAAAAAATAAAATAAAAATTATAATTATAATTTGAAAAATAAAGTAATAAAAAAACTGTAGCAAACGGATATCATCGAAAGCTTATGTACGACTCTTTGGCATCATTTTGCATATATTTAATTAATTTAATACCACACAACTCTCCTTGGCCTATTGGTTGAGAGCTTAGGCTTCCAACTAAGAGGTTCAAGGTTCGAGTCTATGTGTATGCGTTGTGTGTGTGAGTTTGCCTTAAATGGCCTAAATGTCCCAAAAAAAAAAAATAAATAAAAATTAATTTAATACTATTCTGTCGCGGGCATATTTAAATAATAAAAATGAGACAGCGCAGGAAAGGAATGAATTAAAAGATTCACAACCGTTGATCTTCAGATCTCTCTGCCAGTTTCTTTTTTATATCGCGACTAACAGTTGGCGCCGAAACACCAAAATTATTAGGGCTTCTCCGCCCTGCTTCGATTCAGCGAGTAGGGCTTCGTGGCTTTTCTCCGCATGATTACGCGGTGGACGAGTTTTCACCGCAATCATGAGAGCTCGGGTAGTTGTTTTCCCCATTAAAGAAAGGAATTGGTGCTTTAGCCGGTCCCTCGATCCCGCCGCCGCGCTTGAATCCTCTTCGGCGCCGCAGCAATTGAGGGATCTCTTTAGGAACATCACGTCCACGCGAAGATCGGTCCCAGAAAACGCCGAGATCGTTGTGGACTTTGTATCGGAAAAGGTCTTTTGATTGATAAATGATAGAATTTTCTTGGAGCTGCTCTAATGTTTTCTTATCGCGTATATTATGTTAATGTAAACTAGATGAATCGAGCATGGGTTACCCTGGAGAAGGCTCCAGAGGCCACATTGAAGAGTAAACTGCACAGGTGTGTCATTTTTTAGCTTTGCTTTTAAGTGGGGGAAAAATATCGAAATTATTTTTTTATTCTGATTGTGTTAGTTACACGCTTGATGTTGATGTGATTTGATGCAGTTTGGGTTTGTGGCTCCTGTCGAGAGTGAAGCCATCTGAAGTGTTCTTGAAATCTGTTTCTAAGGATGTTACGGAAGTTGAAATCACCTATCCAGCAAGGTGAGTTATCTCTGCATTTCTGTTTAGTTTAGTGCTGGTGGATGATATTTTTTTCCCATGGTGGAATAGAGAAGATGGATGTTTGGTTGATTTTTCATCCAGTATTTTAATTAGATAGAGCATAGTTAAAAAAAAATGATAGTTGTTTAGCAAATCACTGCATCATTTTCTTTCCATTACTGCTGCTATCAGCTTTTAATGTGATTTCAGGATGAAGATACTAACATATCATCACCATTAGTTTTATCACAACTATTTGGGGTCAACTTTATACAACAACAACAACAACATCAAGCCTTCATCCCACTATGTGGGGTCGGCTACATGAATCATTTTTCTCCATTGTGTCTTGTTAAGAGTTAAATTCTCATTTAAATTTAATAAATATAGGTAATTTCTAATATTTTCTAACCAAGTCTTTTTAGGTGTACCTCTACATTTTTTAATATAAGTTAAATCTAATACATCTATTTTCTTAACTGGGTCATCGGAAGACCATCGTTTTATGTGACCAAAACATCTAAGGTGACTCTCTCTAATCTTATCTTTCACTGGAGCTACTCTAACCTTTTCATGTATATGCTCATTTCTTATCCCGTCTCTAAGAGTAAAGCCACTCATCCACCTAAGCATCCTCATCTCTAAAACACTTAACTTAATATTATACTTCTCTTTTAATGGCCAACATTTTACACCATAAAGCATTGCAGATCTAACCACCATATTATAGAATTTTTCCTTAAGTTTGAGGGGAAATTTTCTATCACACAACAAGCCCGAAGCATTCCTCTATTTCAAACATCCAACTTGAATTCTATTAATATTATCCCCATCTATTTCATTATCACTCTGAACAATATACCCAAGGTATCTAAAATGTGTACTCTTATTAATGACTTGATCACTCAAATTTACAATCCCCCACAAGAACTATTATTTCTAAAATTACACTCCATATATTCAACTGTTGTGCTTCTTTTTCTTGAAGTCACGACTTCATGTGATTTTGTCCGAGACTTCCGTGTTTGGTGATATGCTACCGTTTGCCCAATGTGGCCGAATTAGCTAGTCTAATTTATGGGTTCAGTGGGAGCTTTCTATTAGATTTTAACAAACACATGATAATTCAGTACCTTTGATTATGACAATGCTATTATTCTTGCTTTTTTCTAACTTGAATAGTGCAACGATGTGCTTGACTTAACAATATATGAAAAGCCTAGACGCTCATGACTTAACTATATACGGAAAGCCTAGTTTTAGTGTGACACATTCTACCAGAATTATAGATTCAGACTATACCAGTGTTTTGTCGATATGCTGCTCATGGTGCTTTTTTGGTAATCTGTATCTTCACTTATTTTTGGCTGCTGCAGCTATAGTACTCTTCATATAAGTGGATTTCAAGAAGGATTTCTAGAGCTCGCTACAAGTTGTTGGAGCAATTATCTCCTTTATGGTTCTTGAAGCCAACGTTGCCTTCACTAAGGGCTTTTGATTTTACGTTGTTGACAAGAACATTCAGCTGGGTAGATGCGCGACATGTTGGTTCTATTTTATGCAGCTATAAATGTTCTAGCAAAATTTATGCTTATGATACATGCAGTGTTTTCATCTCTACACTAGAAACCATTTGTAGGCATTTAATATGGCATTTTTATATCATAAATAGCCTTCTCTCCATACTTCTTTTTTTGCTCAAAGTACTCTTGAATTATTTTAATTTCTTGGTTAAATTGCATGTCTTTTTCAAAATCTGCAGTTTGAATCCTCGTCTTGTTCGCAGAAGATTGCGACATATAGCTATGAGGTAGCAATTTATCTTTACTGTTTAGCATGCAAATATATTATAGCTTACTGTTTACTTACCCTCCATTGTCTATAATATCACAATTATCGGAGGCAGGGGATCTGCAATTCATAGGAAGCATTTGTATGGCTCAGTGACTTTACTTCCCTTAACTTCAGTTCTCACTGTAAGTACAACATTATATAGTAATTATACTCTTGTCTTATGTTAAAATCTCTCCTTTTTTTATCTTCTTAATTGCTGCCATGTTCCTTCTTTGAAGGCGTGAGTCTGTCTTTTGTTTCTGCATGACTCCCTTGACAATGTAAGTGCTGTTGCAACTCTTCATTGCATTTTGAATGAAAGCTGCATCGTGAATGTAAAAAAAAAAATTTTGCTTACATTTTGATTTACATTTTTAATTACTTTTTTATATTATTTTCCTTCAATGAGCAATTTCTGATGGCTTGTCTAATTGCACCAAATCTAATTGACATCAATATTTATGCACAATAAAGTTTATTGTAAGTGGACACAATAATTAGGAGGAGAATACATATTATATTTCCTTTAATGAACTAAATGAAAAGTGAAACAATTTTAAGTTTTTAGGGATGTTCTTAAGCTTTTACACTTGTTGGAAAGATTAATAAGAATATCGTAGGAATTTGTTAGACTGGTCCAGCCGGTCCACACGGTACCGACTTTGGCGGAAAGAGGTGGAAGTGGCCACCTCTCCTATACGAGCCGCACAAGCCGCAAGGATTAGGGAGCTGTTTTGGAAGGATTTTTGAGGGATTTGGGAGAGAAATTTGAATGTAGGGACTGTTTAAAGATTTCTTTTTGAATTGTACACATTAAATAGTTGGTTTTCCTAGCGTTAGGGCATCTTGAATTTGTCTGAAATTTGAGATCTCATAGTATTTCTTTGGGCTCTAGCAGCGTCTAGGGATTTGGGAGAGATCAATCCTCCTCTCAAATAGAGGATCTATTGTTTCTTCTTATTTTCTTCTATAGTTTGTTTTCTTGCAATAAATTACTGCTTTTCACTGGTTTTCCATCAGAATCGTGGAGTTTTCTCGTTGTTTTTGCTCTCTTGATAGGATTTACTTGAAATCTTCAAGTGTTTCCGTTCAGAATTATAGTGAATAATTGTTAAATGTTGAAGTTATTGAGGTGAATAGGGTTACTGATGAGATAATTGCTTTAAGTTAATTATTGGTAAGCATGTTATGAATGTACGTTGTGCTTATTTTACTTAAATTGGTAAAACAGATGGTCTACAAAACTAATATTTGGCTGAAGTAGAGGGGCTGCTACAACATATTATTTGTGGTGACTAAAATGGAGTTGTGGTGACTAAAATGGAGTTGTAGGTTTTATTAGGATGGGTTAATAGGGGTTTATAATGATTATGAAATATGAGAGAGAAATATGATTAAAAAGATTGTACTTAAATTCATGTAAATAGGTGACTCGCAGTTTGTAACATATACTTAAAAAACATCAAAAGCATATGTTACATTCGAAAGTGGAGCCAAAAAAATAACTTTGTCATCATCATATTTTTGACTATTATGACAATGTGTAGCTACTTAATTATTGATTGTTTTTTCTCTTTAAAAGAAAGAAAAATACGCTTGCCAAGGTTATTAGGTGATTAACGAAGAAAACTGACTACAAAATGTAAAATATTAGCTATATATTATTGACCTCCTTTGATGAGGACATCCATAGGAGATTTCGGCACACTTACCATCGGAAGAGTCGTCGAGCGATGACAATGATTCGGAGTCTTTATTTTTTATGTTTTTTTTTTATTCATGTCATTTATATTTCATGTTTTTCCATTTGTACCCTTATGACGGAATTAGTGCTTGTTGTAGCCCAAGGGCAATGTCGTCTTTATGCTTTTTATTTTCGGATGGCTTATATATAGGCTTAGTCATTGTATTTGAGTTAGTTTTTTTTTTTTATGAATGAAAATTTGGCTCTTATGTTCTCTTTGTGAGTTCAACCCTCCTCGATCTCTTAGTGAGTTCGTCGGAGAAGATAGATCTCTATGTGAGTTCTGGATTTTCACAAAGTTATTTTTGTGGAGATCCGGATTGAAGATAATTGAGGTGAGTGGATTTGTAACCAATCGAATCCCTAGAAAATTCCCTTCCTCCCTTCCCCTTGCCCTTGCCGCCGCCTCCCCTTGAACCGTCTAGGCCGCTGGCCTACAATCCCACCACCCGCCGGCCAGCAGCCCGCCGGCCACCCACTGGAGTCCCCCTTGCCGCCGGCCCCTCTAGCTCTCCCCTTCGGATTTTGAATTTCCCTCCATTAATGGCTTTCCTAATTAAGCCCTATTAAATTTGGGAAGTTAATTAAGATGAGTTACATATATTTGAAATTCAAATTCAAATTTCCTCTTATTTTCATTTGAATTTGGGAGTTACTTAATATAATCAATTTTGAAATTAAATTCAGATTTTTGATTATATTTATTTAACTCCTTGTAGTCCCCACTTATTTAAATTCTCAAGCCCTCTCACCACTACACATGGCCGACCCCTCTCCTCTCTCTCTCCCCTATTAATTCTCTTTTAATACACCATAATCCTTTCCCTCCTAAACAAATTTCAAGTTCAAAATTCTGAAACTAAAATTAAGCTCTCCACAATTGTGGAAATCTGAATTAAACTTCAGATTTTTGTGTTTTCCCCCCATAGCCTCACCGCCCCTCTTCCCCCCAACCCGTGACCTCCCTCCCTCTCCCTAGCTCACAGCAAGCCCCCCACCTCTCTATTTCTTCTTCCCTATTCAATCCCACGATGCATGGAGGATCCTGAACTTGAAGGCGGACTCGTGTTTGACGTCTATGAAGACATCCATATACTTCGGTCCCCATTCTTTGACATGGGGTTTGACCACGACGACACCATTGAAAGTTACTTGGGTCGAATCCTCCCCACCCTTGTGCACGTCATCGACGGTCAATTTTCCGACTACGGCTGGACCATCAACGGACATCCACCCGCTTCTCCACCTTCACCGCCGCCGCTTCCCTCACCATCACTGCGGATCGTCTGCGCCGTCTATCTTGGAGTGATCTCATTTCTCGTATGGTTCTTCTTCCTCCGACAATCCTAGAAGTAGAAGATTGACTTTGTGCCTCAAGGTGAGACAACTATTTTGTTAACCGTCGGATTCTAGTTGGCTAATCATTTCATTACGTGCATTTAAGTTGTTAATTTAAGGAACTTGCAAAATTTAGTTGTAACGACTTGCCTACGCACTGTTAACTTCTAAGTTCTTTCTTGATTTGTCAAATTTGAGAGGCATTAAATTATTTTATCATTGTTCCAACAAATTTTTTTAATTTCTAAGAAAACAATTCCTGGTTTCACATCATCCTTTTTGGCATCGATCATCTGCACTGCATACTTCATAGGATCACCTGCACTTCAGCAGCTGCAGGGTAGATTAGAGGAGCACAAAGTTGTTCATCTTCATCAACCCTAAATCCTCTTGTGTTGGCTCATCTTAAATTTTGTTTCTATTTTTTCACTGATTCGAACAGCTTGTGGTATTTTTTCTTTTATTCTTCTATTTATCTTTTAGTTCATTCATGCACATAGTTCCAAAGAGGAATTGATATTTCTAATTTAATGTACTTTTAATCTGTTAGGCCCGATGAAAACTTTCATTGGTGCCAGGTGAATTACAGAAGTTGAAACCATTTCCTTGTGTGTACTAATTAAAATGATTTGAATTAATAAGAATATATAATGCCATTTACACTTTAATTATTTTTATTATTCATATATATCTGAAATTTAGATATTGTGGTTTTACAGAATAAAATGGTCATGATGTATGCAAAACTCAGACCCTTAAATGCATGAATATGAAATTGAGAAAACATGATTTCTTATTTCTTTGACATATTTTTATATATCTATAGGTTTTACCACTGCCAAACGTACCATTTTTCTGGATCTTGTTCCGTGCATATTCTCATTGGAAGGCTCTCAAGGTAAAAAGACAAATAGTGGTTGCATTTCACTCTATTGTGCTATAACTACATTCGTTTGCCTTATGCACCAGATACTATGATTTCAAAGGACTGGACAGTTGAGAATAGATTGATCATCAATGAAACTGATAATAATCTAGCCTGAAATATATATATAAACTTGATGCTTATTCAGTATGACTTTTTTGTATCAAACAAGTCAGTTTCCTTCAACTTATTTTCTTAAAAAATTGTGAAATTTCAAAAGAATTATTTTTTCTGTTAATTTTGCTCTTTGATTCCAAGAATTCATTAGTGCTTGCATTTGGAGAATCGTGTATTTGTTGCAGAATTTTTTAAAATGATTCAATCTCGCTGAACTAATACTTCATTTTATACCACTAACAATGGAAGATTCATAAAGCCGATTTCAAATATTTGAGGACAAGGCTAATGATTCCATTAAAGTATCTATGAAAGTGTATTTTGACCAATATATCAAACTTTCAAATTTGATATCTGAGAATATTATCCGGGTTTAAGATGAAGTCAAATAATTGTTCATGAAACATTAGACCATTGAATTCAATTCAACCATATGTGCTCCGACTAGTGCATCAAACTCTCAAATTTGATATTTGAGAATGCTATGAGTGTCAAAGATGAGGTCAATTAAAATTCTCACTTTTGAAAACATCCAATCACTCTACAGAGCTTCAAATTATTTTGAAAATCACAACAAAATCACTCATAGGCACTCCTACCAATGCATCAAATAATAAATTTGAGATTTGAGAATGTTGAAATCACTCATGTGTGAATGAACTCAATTTTTCCCGGGTAGAAAATTATATAATGACTAAAAAATGTGCAATTATAATAATAGAACTTCACAAATTTTAGTCTTTTTCAAATTCAAGCTAATTCGTAATGCTCTGATGAACGTGTTAAGTGCCACCGTTCTTGGAAGAATGAATAATCATTTTGAAAATTCATAAACTCTCTCAAATGTAAAAATTAAATTTATCTCTACATAATGCTTCTTAAGCGAGTCGCCTTGCCTATAAGGGAAGGTCATAAATTACTTATTTCAAGTTCGATCCTCCTTGCGAGGACTGGTGACGCAGGGGCTTTGGAAGGTCTCAACCTGAGCAACCAAACTGGACCAGCAAACACACCTATAGACTCGAACCGGACCCAATAATATTGGGTCCGACACACTTTACCACAGGAGTTCCTGAGGTCTTATAGGCCACATTATGTACTCTATTTATGGGCACCTCTTTTGCTCTTAGGAGATAGAATTTGGATAGCGTTCTTTTCACCCAAGCTGAAGACGATTTCCTGTATCCTGGAATTGGCAAAACATTGATGAATTGCCATTATCTGTATCTTTATGAATTCTTTTACATTTCTTCTCCCTAGTCATGCCGTTTTCTTGTATGTTTTGTTTTTCTTTCTTGGACAGATCGATGTCATCTAGTATCAGAGCTAACCAGGCCGAGATTCTCCAAAGAACTCACCGCCCGTAGTGAGTTCTTGCGGTCTGTCCAACCGCAGAAATCCTCATCTCCGACGGCCAAGAATGATGACACCAAGGAGAGGGGTTCCAAGAACCAACCAAGAACAAACCATTGAGGAGCTAAGGAGGGAGATTCAGCGACTACAAACATGACTGGCTGCCGTTGAGGTCAGCCAACAAGGAGATACTCAAAATGACATAGAAGAACCTCCACCCGGCAAGACATAAGAGAACCTGTTTCATCATGAAGAATCAAGTGGAGTCGATTATGTCCCTTTAAGACATTTCTGGCGTGAACCAAGGCGACCGTCGCACGATTTTGGCATATGACTTGATTTACCCGATTTCGAAGGACGGCTAGACCCCGATGAATTTATCAATTGGTTACATCCCATTGAAAGGATTCTAGAGTATAAAGAAATTCCACAAGAACGTATAGTCAAGCTTGTCGCCATCAAGCTCAAAGGTAATGCATCCTTGTGGTGGGAGAATTTAAAACAGACGCGACAACGGGAAGACAAATCCAAGATTACTATGTGGTCAAAGATGATGAAGAAGCTTAAACAGAAATTCGTGCCAATGCATTATCGCGAATAAATGTTCCTCCGCCTTCATAATATCCAACAACACGAAATGTCGGTTGAAAATTATGCCGCTGAATTAGAATAGTTGGGGTTAAAATGTCAATTAGAAGATCCTGAAGAAAACACCATCGCTCGATTCTTGGGAGGGCTTAATCCAACTATTGCCAAAATCGTACAATTACAACCATATTAGACCTTAGCCGATGTAATCAATATCTCACTAAAGGTGGAGAAGCAGCTAAAACAAAAGAGGAGGCTGACGGATGGAGACTCCACGGGCGGAACTAGTGCATGTCCGGCTTCAAACTTGGAGCAAAATTTCAACATTGTTACCAACTCCGCGACTCCGTTAAGGCTGCGTTTAAATCCCGGAGCAGCTGCACCCATAACGTTTCCTGCTATGAAACGCTTCAAATGCCACAAATTTGGTCACATCGCATCCAATTGCCCAAATAGAAGGCTAGTTAGACTAGTCGAAGAAATGCCGTTAGAAGAACATCTGTCAGAGGAGCTGCTATGTGGATCACAGACAACCGACCAACTGATTTCAGCTGACGAGGGTGAACTACTTGTCATTAGACGCTATTGAATACCCAATACCTGCCACAACAAGAATGGCTAAGGCACAATATTTTTCGCACAAGTTGCACGGTTCAAGGGAAAGTTTGCAACCTTGTGATAGATAGCAGAAGCTGTGAAAATGTGGTTTCATCTCTGATGATAGAAAAATTGAATCTACCTACATAACCACACCCGCAACCCTATCAACTAGCGTGGCTCAAGAAAGGCAATAAAATTTCATTCAATAAGCATTGCTGGGTACAATTTCTATTGGTAACAGTTTACAAGAACAAGTGTTATGTGATGTTGTTCCTATGGATGTGTGCCACATCCTCTTAGGAAGACCGTGACAATTTGATCAGAAGACGATTCATGACGACTATAAGAACACATTCATTTCTCCACAACGGTCGAAATATGGTACTGATACCATTCAAAGGAGACCGTGGGACTGAACCATCTCCAATAAAGGTTCAACCAACGTCTAAAATTGAAGTTGTAACTTCCGCACTATTGCTGCAAAGCCTCAAGGAAACTCAATATGGATTAATGCTGATTGTGGTAACCGAAAACGAGGCCTGAGCCGTCACCACCAACGAAAGTCCAGGAGTTGCTGCAAGAATTCAAGGCGGTTTTTCCTGAACAACCGCCAGGTGGACTATCGCCCGCTAGGGAAGTGCAACACACCCTTGATTTCATACAAGGATCGGTCATCCCTAATAGGACCGCATATCGTATGTCACCTAGAAACTTTGAGGAACTACAACGACAACTTGATGAGCTAATCAAGGCAAGATTCATCAGACTAAGTGCTAGTCCATGTGCTGTCCCCGCTTTACTTGTACCAAAGAAAGACGGCACGTGACGAATGTGCATTGATAGCTGAGCCGTCAATAAAATCACCATCAAGTACCGATTCCCAGTTCCGCGAGTTGACAATATGTTTGACCAGCTATGTGGATATGCACTATTTTCAAAGATTGATTTAAGAAGTGGCTACCATCAAATCCGAATGAGGCCAGGAAACGAATGGAAAACATCCTTCAAGACAAGGGACGGATTGTACGAGTGGACTGTGATGCCATTTGGATTATCTAACGCTCCGAGCACTTTCATGCGATTAATGAATCAGGTTTTCCAACCTTTTCTCAATAATTTTTTGGTTGTTTATTCTGACGATCTTTTGATATATAGACGCAGCCTAGAAGACCACATAGAACATCTTTGGCATGTTTTTCAAGTCCTTCGAGATCAAAAACTCTTTGCCAACACCTCCAAATGCAAATTTATGGTTAATACAATCAAGGTCTTGTGTTTTATAGTTTCTCCGGAAGGGCTGCAGATGGACCCCGAAAAAGTAAGAGCTGTTCAAGAATGACCGACCACTACTAACGTGAATGACGTCCCGACGATTTCATGGGTTAGCCTCATTTTATAGGTGATTCATTAAGAAATTAAGTACTGTCGCTGCCCCATTAACATAACTTTTAAAGCAACCACAATTTTTATGGGACAAGAAGACACAATATAGTTTTGATCAACTGAAGGTATTAATGACCACAGCTCCGGTTTTAATCCTACCTGATTTCTCTCAACTTTTTGAAGTGGAATGCGATGCTTCTAACATCGGCGTAGGGGCTGTGTTAAGTCAAGGCAGACATCCTATAGCATATTTCAGTGAGAAGCTTAACGAATCATGACAGAAATACTCGAAATACGACAAGGAATTCTATGCCCTTGTTAGGGCCCTTCAATATTGGAGCCATTACTTGCTTGCCCAGGAATTTGTCTTATTCTCAGATCACCTGGCCTTCAAACATTTGCAAAATCAAAATAAATTAAAAGGGAGGCATGCCAAGTGGATGGAATATTTATCATCATTTCATTTTTCCTTGAAGTATAAATCAGGCAATACTAATCAAGTAGCCGATGCCCTTAGTAGAAGGTTTCTCTTACTAAACATATTGCAATTCAAAATCGTGGGAATAGAAGTCATCCAAGAACTATATGACAAGGATCTTGACTTTCATAATATTTGGGAACAATGCCTTCAACAACCATTTAAGTTTTTTCATATTCAACAAGGATATCTATTTTTTGGAAACAGATTATGCATTCCCCAATATTCCATTCGAAATGCAATTATAACTGAAAATCATAACGTAGGACTAGCCGACACTTTGGGCGAGATAAAACCTTAGTTATTATTAAGGAACACTTATATTGGCCTCTTCTTACTAGGGATGTGGACAAACACATTAAGAGATGTCAGGTTTGCATACGAGCTAAGACAACACAACAGAATTCCGGGTTATACATGCCTTTACTCGTATTGGAAGCACCATGGGTGGACGTCAACATGGATTTCTTATTGGGCCTTCCCCTCACACAAAGGAAGAAATACTCTATCATGATAGTAGTTGACCAGTTTTAAAAAATGGCACATTTCGTAACCTGTCGAAAAACATTGGATGCCTCACATGTAGCTAGACTTTACTTTCAGGAAATTGTATGACTACACGGTATACCAAAAACAATCACCTCAGATAGGGATGTTAAATTCCTTAGCCATTTCTGGAGAACCTTATGGTCCAAATTGGGAACAAAGCTACAATTTAGTTCCACGGCAAACCCCTAAATTGATGGACAAACAAAAACTGTGAATAGAAGTTTGGGAAATCTTCTCAGATGTTATGTAGGGAAAAACATTCGCCAATGGGATGAGATTTTGGGGCAAGTGGAATTTGCTTACAACAGATCTAGAAATCAAACCACAAATCACATCCCTTTTGAGATTGTGTACGGACAAAACCCAAACGAAGCTCTAGATTTAATACCCCACATGACCATCACAACTTCCCACGCAGATGCTGAACGTCATACTAAAGAGATCCGCAAGCTTTACGAACAAGTTCAACAACAGATTCAAAAGCAGAATGCCAAATATCAAAAGCAAGCGAACATGTCAAGATGACAAGAAGACTTCAAAGTGGGAGACTTAGTATGAATCAGATAAACAAGGAAAAATTTTCAACACGAGGATGCAACAAACTCAAAGCCAAAGTAGAGGGACCTTTTCGTATCCTTAAACACATTAATGATAACGCATTTCAATTAGAATTTCCTGGAAGTCTGCAAATCTCACCTACTTTTAATGTTGCAGATCTCTCTCACTATTATGAAAATAAGGAAGAATGCAATGTAGCAGCCAACAACATTCAAGGACCAAAGACAACAGCAGGACATAAGTTTCCAACCAAGGATACCGAACCCACCACTATAGCAGGATCGTTTCAAGGTTGGGGGAATGACGCAGGGGCTCTGGAAGGTCTCAACCCGAGCAACCAAACTGGACCAGCGGACACACCTATAGTCTCGAACCGGACACAGTAATATTGGGTCCGACACACTTTACCGTCAGGAGTTCTTGAGGTCTTATAGACCACATTATGTACTCTATTTATAGGCACCTCTTTTGCTCTTAGGAGATAGAATTTGGATAGTATTCTTTTCAACCAAGCTGAAGACGATTTTATGCATCTGGGAATTGGCGAACCAGGTGGTGAATTGCCATTATCTGTTTCTTTATGAATTGTTTTACATTTCTTCTCCCTAGTCCTGCTGTTTGCTTGTATGTTTTGTTTTTCTTTCTTGGACAGATCAGTGTCAACTGGAGTTGACAAGACTTGAACCTCAGGAGAGGGAGCTATAGAGTAAGGTTTAAATTGTGCACCATAAATTTTATACGCATAAGTGAATGCATGACCATTGAATCTGCGAAAATGTTTTGTTTTGGTGTTGTATTAGTTCTTCAATGTCTTTTACAAAGAAAATTCATTACAAAATACAAACTTTTGAGTTCAATACTTGTACTAAAGTCACAAATTGATACTTAAAAAAAAGCCACAAATTGATACTTTAATTTGATATTTTGTTAGTAGACAGAAAAAATTGACAAATTTCAAATAAAAAATGAAATAGTCAATCACTTCGATGATGATTGATTGATTGATGACTATACTGATAAACATATTAATGGGAGAGTATTATATGATTTTAAAATTCTCTCAAATTCCAAAATGAATCACCTGGGGCTTGAACTCCAAAAAATTAAAATAAAAAACCAAAATATAAAAAAATTTAAAACTATTTAGCAAAATTTCCGCATACACTTAAAAGCAAAATTCATCTGCTCTCTATAACCATTTATCGAGAGTGATAAATTTGAGAATAATTTCAATTCACAAATAGTCAATGTTCTGTCAGACATATCATTAGAATTCATTGTCAAATTCTCCAGTATGATTTTTCCATCAAATGGAATTACATGTAAACTATTATGATTGGGGTCTTTTGATCAGATGATTTTGCTGCGAAATGACAGTATTAAATTACAATCATAAACAAATCTTATAAGTTCCCCCTTGAGTATTGAATCTTATGGTATAGTTAATAGGGCACACAACCTTTTATTAGTTAAGGCTAACTCAGATTTTTTCTCTTGAACAAATATTCATCCCATGTTTATAGGGTACCCTTGGATGAAGCAACCCATGACTACTGACAATTATCCTTTAGTCAAGTTTGGTTGACTTTCTCCTTTGACTAAGTAGATCAGTGAGCATAACATCTGGTTGATGGAACCATGAAATCTTAATTGAGTTCGTCATAGTTCCCATGCCATTCAGTGTAGAATGATAAATTTCAAATACCAATATTAAATTTGTTGCAATTATACACAAGATATTTAGTATCTATCTAACATTAAACTTAATAAAAAAATTTCTCTCTGTTAGGGGTAATTAAACATTGGGGCTTGTGCCTATGAGAAACCTAGAACTAGATTATGAAGTTTTTGCAAAATGATTGCAAAATCTTTTGGTAGTGTCTCATCTTCAATCTAATCTAACTTCCAAAAATTTGACTTAGAACACATCCTAAATTTTTAGAGTTCACACTTGTCATGTAAACTTGTTTGTTTATTAGAAATAAAAAAAGTGAAGCACAACCAAAAATTATTTGTACAGAAATCTGAGATAATGTTTGAATAATTATGGGATGTATTTAATGATTTATGCATATGTAACAAGCCATCATCTCAAAATGCTTCAAGCTTATCTTTAGTGATATGAAAAAAAAAGGATTCTATGTAAATGGTGGCACTATTAGTGCTATTAAAAAATTATTTGTCATAGGCTATCTGGATCTTTTTTTATCTTGTGGAGTTCATTCCAATCCATTTGCATTGTGGTGCGTGTTGTATTTTTCCTTCTTTCCAACCTTTATCAAATTCATATTTCTATCCCTATCCTTATACGTGTTCCATTCCATTCTCTCATCAACCCTTTATTTGTAAGAGTTTCATTCAACCACCCGTTATACTATATGTGTCGAAATTCCTCCTCAATATTGCATCATCCTTTTCTAGCTTGTATTTTACTTTCTCTTTTGATATTAGTTTTATTACCTGAAGAGATTTGGTGGTATGCACGTAATCATTGATTTTATCTTGTTTAGGGAAGTAGAATATGCTAGCTTGTTGATTATTGTTCATTTTTCTTCTTTGAATGTACTGAATAATTCATTTTCTGGTATTTGTCTTCTTAGGGAAGTGAGCGATTACTACTACTTGTTTCAGATTGCTCAAGGACATGGAGTTCGATTGCCAGCAATGAGGAGGGGAATGGTTCCAAGGATGAAAGTGATCATGGAGCCAAAGCTACGCCCAAGTCTCCATGGGTAAGTTTATTAAGATGACTGATTACTTGTTCTATTTCACTCAAAAATCAAAATCAGTAAGCATTTCTTTTAAAAGCTTTATGTTATAACTGTGCGGTTACATGTAAACCAGAGAACAGAGGCAAGTAGCATTTTAGTAGGGTGCATCTTTTATGTATTGTGGCAATTATACTTTTTTCTGCTTCATCTAGTGGTTTAGATTGACACAATTTCTTCAATCATCGGCCTTTCACAGTATTCCATCCTGATCTTATTGTAGGTTCCTTTGTTATGGGATAATTTACGGCATTCTTTGGTTGTAAGTGATACAAATAAGTTCAAAGCTATTTTGAAAACTTTTTTGCACCTTGTACATATAGCATTTTCGTTGGTTGAGTTTTGTGAGAAATTATTTGGAAAACTTCTCTTCCATAGAGGGAGATACCTGGCTTTCAAGTGCATATCAGTTGAAGTTGAAATTTCATTTCTCTTCGAAGGATGTAGGAAGATAATTGTATTCACTAAGCTTAGCTTTAATTAGGTTACTGGTTACATTATGCTCAGTTTCTTAGATTTGGTTCATTTTTCTAGGGACCATTAGTCTCTAAAGCATGCACTAGTATAATGTTAATATCGATGCCGTAACCTAATCAACATATCCTCCCTTATGATTGAAATAAATGATTGTTTTACTCTGTTAAAATATTACAATCAGATCCACATGCGCTGCCCAATACCATAATTGGCGTCCAGTTCTTCTCCCATCATCAGTACTAAGGTCCTGTGTACATATCCTCCTGGCAAGGAGATTAGACTAGTGGCTTTCAATCTTAGCCTCTTCCACTACAGTTTTGGGAGTCAGCCATGCTCTGCTGCTGCCTCGAACGATTGTGAAGTAGATATAGGATGCATTTTGAACGTTGCATTGTGTAGCCATGGCTACGGCTACCACTTATAGAGCAGAGGGTGTTAGCTAACTCAACACACTTACTCATGGTTTCCCATCCACTGCCTGGTGCAGTTGCTCTCAAATGTTGAAAATTTGGGTGCAATTAAATGAGAAACACGAGCATATGTGAAGTTGATAAGTGATGAAAAGGATCAGGTTTAGGTAGCGAAAATAAATTGGAGCTATTGATATATTGTTTTTGAAAATCGCACAAACCTATGTGAAGTTAACAGCTAATAGTCGCGAGACATTTTTCACAAGAGAATACACATGCCACATGTATTTGGTCATGTACTAATTATTGTGGTTCGGCTTGATTGCACTGATTTAATGTTAGTATGTTAGAATCCACACATAAAAAAGGACATTGATTTAAAAAACAAATCTCAAAATAGTCCCCAAACTATTTTTGTATTGCCAATTTAGCTTTGAGTATCAAGTTTACTCAATTTGGTCCATTAAATATACAAAATTAATCCCAAATTGTCCCTCGTATTGTAATTATGATGTAAAATTGATCCCAATTTAGTCTTCAACTTTATAAATTGATTCAAATTTAGTTCTAGGAGAATAATTTTGGATCAATTTTGTCAATTTCCTAAGGATTTTCACCCGTGTTAAAAAATTATGAAAAATTCGTATAATTAAAATATTACAATATCAATGCTATGACAAAGACGGTTTATAATTTAGACTTATATTGAGTCCAGAAAAAAAAAATTGACATAGTCAATTTGCGGGTTATTACAAAAGCTGTGCATGATAACTCATGGGTATGCGAGGAAACACATAATTGTGCGTTGCAGTTTGCGAGAGCGCCGTGCTCAATGCGAACGAGGGACGATCAATGTTTGAGGGCTGCACGATGCGGGAACTAGGGCATCACAGCTAGAACCTTTGCATGCAGCAAGAAGCTCTAGTGTAATGTGAAATAAAGAAGTCTGGGCATGCGCAGTGCATGTTAGCACATAATTGTGCTCTACATCTTGTAATGGCACAGTGCTCAATGCAAGGGAGCTAAAATGAGTGCTTGAACACCACACAATGCGGTAACTAGGACACTGCGGCTGGCACCATGGCAGAGTGGGATGAAATGCACTCTTTCTGAGGATTCGCTAAGTAGAATAGTAAAGTTATAGTCAAAAGTGTTATGAAGGATGATTAAGAAAGATTTTATGCGAGAAGACTAGGAATGTTGGTAATAAACTTGGAAAGTTTATAAGTCGCTTTAAGAAGGATGCAGATGGGGATAGGAATGCTGATTATGAAGTTTTTATTAGAATTTAGAATCCATGAACTTATGGCAAAGTTGCGAAGTTTTGTTTGGAAATTTTGAACTTATGGAGGTGCAAGAATCCTTACAAAATGGGCTTTAGTACTGTAGGACTTCAGCTATATAGTTTACCCGGTGCAAACTTTTAGTTGTGAAAGCAGAAAGCAGTGAACAAAATCAATAAACTTGAAGCTTGGTTGTGAAGTTTTGACAGTAGATTGTTTTTTATTTGCAGTTGCATATTTTTTGAAAGAGCATTTAGCACGATAGGATTATCAGAGAGACATTAGCTGGGGACTTTCAAAACCATGCGGATTTCACAATTTCCATGAAGTACCTCGCAGAATTGGAAATTTTGCACTTGAAAGACAGCAGGGAATTCCATTTGAAAGCGGGAACGTTGTGTATGGCAAACTCCTGTTGCCTTTAGGGTTTAGGGTTTAAGATTTAGGATTTAAACAAGTTAAATTAAACATGATATGTGACTAAATTATGTTTCTACTATATCAATCACATCATGGAAGAATCGGCAATGCTCCTACATGTACATTTTTATTACCACTCTCGACATAATGATTATTTTATGCTGCCCCATTCATCTTAGTGGGTTTTGAATTGTGGAAATGAAGATAATGGATGTTGTAAACACTAGGAAGGATGGATTCAACTCCTGTTTTCATTTTTATTTAGATGACTAAGTTGCTACCAATCTTAAGGGTGTCAAATGGTCCATAATTTTATTACAATCCTGATGGGCTGACCAATATT